ATAAGCAGAAGTGTATTAATCAACACTTTGAGGATGGACGATTTGTCCCCAAACACAGAAAAATGTCAAAGTTGTTGTAAGTGGTGCTCAGTCCGTGGGTCTACGTCTTAATAAATAGGAAGGGATGGATGGTTTCGGGTTAAAGACCAGGGCAGTCTCGGTTAGGTGGCATTAAAAGGCTCTTCGGCCGTACCTGCTGCGGAGCCACACCTTAGGGAAACTAAAGATGGCGTTGAATCACCACCGAAACTCGGGTCAAAGAGCAGTGGCCGAAAAACTCGGAAAGAATGAGGAAGGGATTGAGTTTCAGAGCCCTACCTGCCGCAAGCCTAAAACAAATAAAAACTTTAGATTTAGTTAAAGGTAAAAACAGGAAGCCTCTCCGGAGCGGTTTTCTTCCCTTCACCTCGCTGACAGGTAGTAGTCAGCTTTAAATTAGTTTCCCTGGATATTATTTGCGCTCCCGAGAGGGAAATATAGGCAGCGACGTGATGGTAAACAGGTGGACACTTCCAACACTTTCATAAGTGGCGATTTCTTACCGTGTGTGACAAGTATCGACGCAACAAGGCAAAGCAGTAAGATCATTTTCGTGCTGTCGGGCCAATTTCGGGCGTCATGTCTCGCCATTATGATCCTCTCCGAAACCAGGCGCGCAGTCCCTCCGAATGAGATGAGAAATAGAGGCAACGCCGACTCAAGATTCCTTTTAAAGTCTCAATCAATAAAAGCAACAAAAAAAATAAATAAAAGATTTTTTTTTTTAAAAACTTGCTTGGCTTCGGGACAAACAAGGAGTCCAGGAGAAAATCGATGTTTGAGGAGTCCTTCACTTCGCCTTAATGGCGGATTATGGTTAAATTAATGACAATCCTCGGGAATTCGTCTCGGGGGCGCACAGGTGAATATTTCCACAGCTGGTGCTCCGGGTGTAATGAGGCGCTCGCGCGGCTCTCTCTGTGCTCCAAACTAGTTCCTGCGCGTGTGTGAGCGCGCGGCTGTCCGGCTGCGTGCTACTTGTCTGAGTGATGTCATCGGGAGAGGCGTTACAGTCCGCCGTCTCACAGACCAATTAGGCACGAGCGCACCAACAACTTGTTGAAGTTACAGCAAGAATGTTTTTTTTCCCCCCTCTACCTAGACGCCACCAATTACACCTGTAAAGCATCCGCAGCGCGCGGCAGATGTTAAGCTGGGGAGAGTTGCGTTTATTCATGCCCGCGAATATGATCGAGATTGGCCTCATGCGGTTGTGCAATCTGTTCAGCAAACAACAGATGAGAATGAGCGTCACCGAGCGCTCAGCAGAGGAGGAAATCACTCATCCAAGACCAGGACACGACCACGTCTACAGAGCAGGCCTCCTGTGACTTTAATTTAACATTCAAATTCTGCTAAAGCATTAAGATCTTATTTTATTTTATTTTTTGGTGCCATAAATACACGTTTTAATCATTAAACTATTTAAATAAATTGCTTCTCTGCTTATTGGTTAATTTTCGATCTATGCTGGACATACAAAAGCCAGTTATGTACATGTTACACAGAAAGCCATTCGACATTCACCCTTAAAAAAAACTTAAATTGGCTTCTGTACAGTTCATCCCACACTGGTGCTCGTGTACGTGGAATCGGATGATTCTTGCGCCCCCTGCTGTTGGTCTGTGCACACAGGCACCACGTTGGCTCCTGTAATTTGCAGCACAGTAAATGCCAAAATCAATAAACATTCATTATCGAATCTCAAAATACAAATCCAGGAGCAGCCAGTGAGATCAAATCAAAAGGAAACAGCGTCTATCTCATGCATCCATTTGCAGACGCGGGCAAAATGATGAGATGCTTTTGCTGCAGTATAACTTCCATTTAATTTTTGCCCTATTTTCTCAGAAGCAGGATGCATACTACCATAGCAAAGGCATTATCTGGTTTGGGTCTAATCCTTATACCCAAGTGTTTTACAGCCAATGTAATTACATCTCCATAAGTCCCTCGGTCTAAACCGGGCTGTCTGGTTCCTTATGTTCCGTTCCCCTTCTCAATTCTCCTCCAATGTCTGCCTTTTATTTCCCGACTTCCATTCTCTAAGGAGAAAATTCTGAAAGCTCAGATAATGATCAGAGGTCACGCAAACCTCTGCTCACCAAAAAAGAGCAAATTATATTCCTCCTCTGGACTTCTCTGCCCGACAAAGAGGCAGGAGGGTTACATTTGCTTTCCACTCCTTGCTCAGTGTAAATCTGACTGTGAGCCAGCTGCTATTCAAAAGAAACAGCTGTGCTTTAAATGGCCAAAACCTTTAGTATGAGAATATCTTAATCTGCAGCAGTCTTCTAGCCCCGCGGAATGCTTCAGGTCCAACACATTTGTGTGCAGGGACCACCCGTCCCACTGCTCTTGCCACTAAATCACAGGCATTCAAGATTGAATAAGGAGCTTTAAAGAAAGTAGCAGCCAAAATGGAGAATTTCAATCCCCTTCTTCACCCACTCATCCATTTTTCATGCCCACACCAAATCAACCTTCACACCTTTTGCTTTCCTGCTACTGCCCATTCTACTCATACTGTGTGCCTCACATTAAATCCTCTACACCTTTACTTCATTTACACGTCCTCTCTTCCCTCTCTCATTCCACGTCATTCAATTTCCCCCATCCAACCGTCCTTCACTCCTTCCTGCTAGTTATCCATCCTCACCCTCTCCAGGGCTCTGTGGCAGTGATAATGAAGCGCATAGTTAACAGATATTAGCTCATTGGCAGTGGATTCATTAGACAGAGCCAGGGCTTATGGTGATTATTTACCCATAGGGGAGGGGCCACAAGATCAGTACCACGCTCTGTCAGCAGCCACAGGCTTCTTTGAAGTCACACTGTGTTTCTTCCCCTGCAACAACCTCTCCCACTTCTCTTCTCCTCAGGTTTTCTCATTCTGCCCGAGTGCCGTTCATTCCACATTTTTCCTTCTTTCCTTCTTCCTGCTCATTGCTAGCCATTAAACTCCCACAATGCATATCTGCTTTTTCTCTCTCTCTCTATCACTTCTCACCGCCCCCAATCACTCAATGGTAATTATGGAAAACTCTAATAGTGCTCAGAGGAGCTTATAATACCTTTAGCTTAATTAAAGACATTTATGGGATGTTAAGACATGTAGCCCAGGGGTTGCTTTGCACCCACACCAGCCAAAACTAATTTTTTTCTCTGCCTTTTCGTCTATCAGATCCTTGCTTTCAGTTATATTTAGCATTTTCACAATGCGATACACACGAGGACGTGGCTCATTGCTTTTGTCAAACTGGATGTGAGGGTCAGTGGTTCCTTTCGGTCATGATTCTCTCCACTTCAAAGTTCAGCCTCACAGTGTTGGCAAACATTATGAGGCAGCATTATGTTAGTGTCAGTACATGCTCAGCTCCGGTTAGAAGCCAACTTACACTCATTGTGCATAAGGGCGTCAGGGCACGGACGTTTTCTATTATGCCTTTTGATTGAGGTCTTCTGGACAGGAGGGTCGGACAACATTCAGAATAAAAAGGAAAGCTGGTGCAACATGTCCTATTTATTTTGGCTTTTGGTTGTTTCGGAAAGACCACAGAGGCAGAATTTTGCAAGCAAGGTACTCCAACCTAAATTATTGATTTACCGCACTGAATGTTGCAAAATGCCTTTTAACTTTAGAAATCCTGATTGGCAGCAGATTGAAGCATCGCTGTGTCAACTTCAAATGGTTAGTTTGACCACGTGTTACAGACTGGACAGCACACAATATGAGGGAAGTCTCTGGAGCTGAGGAACTTTACACTGTAAATTCCTAGCGTTATTGCAATACCCTCATTGTGTTTACCGCCGCCAAGCAAAAGCTTTTTTTTAAATCATACTTTCACCTTTAAATCAAGTCTTCTTTATTGTTTTGATCCTTGTTTCTGTTCAATTTCACACAGCTAGCTGAAGATCACTACAATAGATTCATTAATTTATGATGGGAGTAGCTTTTTGACAAGGTCTCGAGGAAGACCATCCATGGGTGGTTATATATCAGTTTGGGTTTGCACTGCTGTGAATAGGCCTGAAAGAAGCTCTCGCTCCAAAATCAGCTAGTTCTGTTGGTGGAGTTTGTAAGTGTGCATGAAGATGAAGAATAAGCATCTGGAGAGAACTTTTAACAACCTTTGACCCTCCCAAAAACGTGACTGTAACTCCAGTTAGCTTAAGCATGTGGTCAAATAGGCTGAAATGTCAAGAGTCTGGTCAAGATGACATTAGGGCAAAGACATTCCATCACACACTGGATATTCAAACCAATTTTTAAAAAATATTTGAACTAGATTCCGTGTTTATAACGGAGGATATATGGAGTACAAAGCTCTTGTGCATGTTTACTGCACGTAAACTTGGGACTTGAGATGTGGCTTATCAGCCTCATACACACGAACGTCCCACAGGAATAATGACAGTCTTTTCCTGCTGATTGTTCCAGCGTTAGCTGCCCCACATCCTGCTGAGCCAAATGATGAACAGCAAACTTGTTGACGTGTCAGTCAGGGGCACCAGTAACCAAGCAGCATCCAGAGACACTTTCGGTGTTCCGAGGGGCGCTTCGAAGGTCACAAGCTCTCCGAGACAGCTGGCGCAGTGCGGGCGATTTTTCTCTCCTGAAAAAGTGTGATGGAGTCTGTTTCTGTCACCTTGATTCTTGTTTCTTCTTTGGTGGTATATTCCTCCCACACTGGCATGACAGGTATGCTTTTCTACAAACATATTTTTCCTTCACCAAAGAGTTGTGTTGCTTTTACAGAACACAGGTTTATATATTACAACTATTCGTGTCTCACATAAATGATGAGTTTTGAAGTCTTGGAAACCGAATGGATCGATTTAGTTTTACCGTATTGTGAGTTGTTAAAAAGAAACTTTGTTATTTATGTTCATTGTGTCCTCAACAAAAACGCCCAACAACACAATCGTCTGAGACGGACTTTAAAAATCTCCATCCACAGGATGAAAATCAGACATCGGCACTGTCGAAATGCTGGAAATACAAAGCCACGATCGAAGACTCGCACCAAGAATCCTTCTTTCATACCGACAAACTTTTTGCCCTCTCCTCCTCAGGCTGGGACGACGTTGTGGTGGTTGAAGAGAACATGCCTGCCACCCTGGGCTGTGCTGACACAACAGTGAGAGGTGACATATCCATTAATTGGATGGTGAAATCACTTGGTGCGGATGAATGGAAACTGGTACTCTCAGCCACTGAGAATGACAAGTTCTCTGGTGGTGCCTCAAAGGCATCCATGCGACTGACTGACAGCAACTTTCAAGACACTGGGAATTTCTCGCTGTTTTTACTACCCAAAGTGGAGGACAGCGGCCTCTACTCATGTTTAATAAAGCGGAAAGAGAAGAAAGTCAAGGAGAGGATTGTTCTTTTAGCAGTCCTTACAGGTAAAAAAAAAAGAGAAAAAGAAAAGCAGCTTATACTTTCTGGGAAATTCCTTAAGCAGCTGCGAGCAAAAGAAGGCCAATATTTTCTGCAACCAGAGAATCTAATTCAAAAGCACACATGCACTTGAAGAAAAATATTCATCTGGTTAAAGCTCCCCAGCAGATATATCTGAACGTGTGCAAAATTATTCAACTTTGAAGGATGTGCCTATAATTAATCTGCTGCTTAGAAAATTATGAAATTTCAAACATTTTTACTCACATTTTAGGCTTCCTCAGGGAAACTTGCCCCCTAGGAGAATCTTAGTGTCTGTGAACATGTATGATTATTTGTTTTAAAGTCCCAACAACCACGAGACACAACACATACAATTGCAGAGAATAGATGAGTTCTTTGTACTTTTGATTGCTCTCACTGTATTGTTTAGGGTTTTCTTTCCCATGTTCACTCTGTCCAATTTGCACTCCATTTATCAAATGTTATGCCATTAATAGCTGCTTATTTGCTTTGCAAATTCTAATGAGAACCTATAAGAAATACTCTTTGCCTCATGCACACTTCATTTAATTTGTCCTGCAGTGGTGAATCTTAACTAAGCACATGTAGATGAGCAGTGTACAGTTTTTAGGTAATTATGCACCACATTGAGGTATTTCTGCTTTTTGCTGCTCTAAGCTTCGGCTTAAAAAAGCTTCAGAGAGAAATATTTGACTTTGAACTCTTATTTTATGTATGTTTATGTAAGAATTTAGCCAAGCTCCACCTCCACCTAGTGTGGATGCTTTTTGCCTCCTCTGTAAAATGAAATGTGCTTTTTGTTTGTATTTCAGCTTTAGCACATTTGCTCATTTATATTAATTTATGATGCCACTTTATTCACACATTTACACAGTCAACGACATTACTTGCTTAATGCAAAAACGACCGTGATCTAAGAAGTAGTTATTTCCAGCAGGAGCAGATTTAATTTGGCCTTTCTGTAAGTGAAGAGCACATGTAGGCAAAGAGTGCTCTGACATTTTACTTCTCGTTTATGAAACTTCAAATATTTTACACTTTATTAACATTTCCTTTATGTCCTTCACATATTAATATTTGATACCCTCTTGAACTGAACTAAATCTCAACAATATGTATGCTTTTATCTGACAGATCTTATATCTTTAATGATGCTGTGGCGCTTGTATTTAAACATAAGCTGCAGAACGTGGGGTTGAGTAATTCTGACTGAAATGTTTCTTTTGCTGTTGACCTCCTTCATCTGAAGTGAAAATCCACCCTGCCGCACCGGTCCCTCAGCACAGCAACTTGCGGCTGATGGCTAAAGTGACCCCAGAGAGTGACATCACCACAGTCACGTGGACAGCACCTGGCGGCATTCCCATGAAGAGTGAGAAAAAGCCCAACGCGGGCACAGTGGCTAAACTGCCACAGGTCCAGAGCAGTGACGGCGGGGCCTATGTCTGCACCGTTTACCTCATGGGAGAAAGAGTGTTTGCCACAAACGTGGAAGTGACTGTTGATGGTGAGACTCAGATTTGGAGGAAACATCCAGACGCATTTAAAAACAGCCTACGTGTGTTTTTGCTTTTATTGATAATATGAGCGACCATCAAAACCAGAAACTCAGCGGCAGCATTATTTATTCAGGAGTCCTATGGTTACTGTTCTTCAAAGTATTTACTTTATAAAACAGTTTGAGATTCAAAAGCACACTGTGGATGTGCACTAAAAGTCAGCTTGTCCTCCTGTGAATATTACAGTTGCTACATTTATGTATTATTCATAATATGCTTTTTGCCCCCTTTCCATTTTTGCTCCTCATCTCTCCACAGCTGTCAAAGTGGCCTCATTCACCAGTATAACACATGGTAAGTAACTCTAATACTGGCAGTCTGAAAGTCCTTTGTCAGCAGCTTGCTGAATAGGCAGAGCAGAAGGTAAGAAGTGACTATCAGCATATAAAAACTTAATTCCCATTGTGTTAGGAATTCCCCCCCTGTCTCTATTTCATTACACACTTTCTTGTATTTACTTCCTGTCTCAAGCTCATTCTTTATTAACCTTCTTATTGCTTAGAAATCCCTCTCTGTATCCTCTTGGATTGTAAGGTCATTGTTTCCTCCTGTTCTTGCCGCAGGCCTAATGATCTCAGCTGCCATTCCGGCTCAGACTTCCTTCCTCCTGACCTGTCCCAGTGTCCAGGGTGACTATGTCCGTTTATTCTGGCACACCCCAGACGTCAGGAAGCAGAAAAACGGGACATTAGTGCACCAGTACGACCAGTGGAGGGATTCCACCTTAAAGGCGGAGCAAAGCAGGGCCCTCCAGCTGGCTGGCCCGCCCTACAATGCCGAGGTCGGGAGTTTCTCCTTCCTGCTCACCGCTGAGCTAAAGGATGGCGGCCTCTACGTCTGCGAAGTGTGTCTCAATGACAACATCTTCAGACAGAAGACAACACTCACCGTGCTGAAAGGTAGACATGTGTAATGAGGTAGAAGCAGTGGAAGGAAGTGGATTAAGGGTAGTTAAACAACAAGAGGGGGGGGCTTTATATAAAAAGTGATCTGGCTAAATCATATCTATTTTCATGTCACATTCCTTGAAGATGGAGCTACCCAAAGCTCCTTAAGTGAATGAGTAAAATCAATAGAAGCATGAAAAATTCAAGGGGAAAACAATATGAAGCTGATTGATCGATTCTGCTGCTTTAATTCCTCTGAAGGAATTAAAATGACATTCTCCCAAAAGATAGCTGTTTTTCATCATGAAACATACCGCAGGTGTTCACTTGATTTGATATCCCGTAAAGGCCGTGACATATTAATCACTAACATTATTTACATATTCAAATAGTTTAGCTCTTGACTATTTTTAGCAGGACTAATTTACTATTAATCCATGGCAAATTCAACCTTTTTTGTTTTCAAACTGGAAAAGCTGCAGCAGAAGACCCTTTTCATTTCACCCTGACAGGCATTACTTGTTTATTTGACAGATATTAGAGTACTGAATAAATATGATCAAATACAAACATTTCATCATTTACAGTTTCTGATATTTCAATGCCTGCCCCAGGAATGGGTTTTGTAATGGAGATTAATAAATATTGGTAGAAATAACATAATAAATAATTAAATTGGCAGTTAAAATGTTGGGTCTTACCATTCGAAAAGCATAAAACTGTGAAATGTGCTGTGAAGTACATAGTTATTAGGCTTAAAGTTCTTATCATTAGAGCTCTTGAATCGGCTGCCCACTAGAAATAAATGCAAACTGAGAGCAGGAATTTTTATATAACACAAAAAAAAGCAGCATGTTCCTTTTTTATTTTCTTCCTCATGTTATTAGACTGAAATTCACATCCAGAGACGCAGGCAACACAAACAGTGTTCAGCAAAGCATTACTGCCCCGACATGGCAACTGTGTCAGTAAGAGCTGTGGATTTTCCCCAAACTGCCAAAATCTGAGTGAAAGTTTTGAGAGCAGTTTTCGTTTCAAATGCAATATTACACTCATCATCACCATGGCTTTACACAAAATGCACATGGACACCACAATGTGAGGTTTAACAGCATCTCTGCTGTTTCTGTGTTAAGCACTTTAATGATAAATACCATGTTACTCTACATGGGATGGATTAAAACCTTCCATATAAATCTCACCCAATCGAATCTTTTCACATACTATTTGTGAGTGCTGGCCTTTCCTTTTCAGTTATTTTTATGGCAACTTTCAGGAATAAACACACAAATGTTCACATTTTAAGGTGCACATACATTCCCCCTCACACAGCAGTGCCATCATTTGACGCTTTCCATTCACACATTTAGTCTTTCAGGTCTTCAAATTACAATGTTGCATTCAAATTTCCAATTTCACTACTAATATCTCAGGATATTCAGCATACTGATTTAGTATTCAGTATGATTTCAAATTTAAAATGATTTAAGATTCTGCAGAATTTTTCTTTTCACAATGTGTTTATTTTTAAACCTTTGTACATTTTCGTTTTGGCCAAGCTGCACGTTTTGTCCATTTCAGATTTTTTTTGCCTAGCTAATCTTCATTGTCTTTCTCCAGGTCATTACACATTTCACACAGCAGTGGTTCTCATCCACAGTTAAACCCCATTAGACCTACGGTTTTAGTCATAACAGACACCACAAACTTGAAAAAGATTTAGTGGACAGTTTTCCATTGATTGTGCTGCTGTCTCCCATAAGAATAATCATAAAAAAGCACTCGAGAGGTCAGACCTTCAGCTTTTTCCTTGAATTTTAATTATCAATTCTTTTTTTTTTTTTTTTACAAAATGATGTTCAGGTGACTTCCAGCAACAGGGTGGAGAGGACCTGTCTTCAGAAATGTGAATGTATTCCAATTAACTAACTAACCTAACTAAATGAGGTGCAGGGAAATTGAAAATCTAATCACAAGAGTGATGCCAGGCACTGTTTTCAGAGACTTTTCATAATTAGAGTATCTGCGTCTCTTGAGGTGCTTTACTTTACCAAGCTGAACTGTGCTGACGTGAGGCATTAAATTCTTACCAGCTTCAGTGCATTGTTCACCCACTCTGACTGAGAAGAATAAATGAAGAGGAAATTTCCTACAGCCATTGCTAAAATGTCACATTATTAGATGAATACATTTACTATATTGCCTCTCAAAGAGAACATTTACTTGATTCATAAATTTAAAGAGAAAAAAATTGAGCTGAGCACCTGTTGACTTTTACGAGTGTGCCTTGGGGAGTTTTCACCCTTTCAGAAGCACACATTTCCTTTGTACCCACGCACACAAATGCCAGTCTGCACACACATAGGCACACACACTCTCAAAGGCCTGTCATGGTGGCCTTGGAAGGCTTTACTAATCACAGTCCCACTGGCATCCATCACAGCTGCCCAGACATGACCGCTCGATCTGTCACTGTCACCCCGCTTCACACATCTGCATCCGTTACACACACTCACACACGTCCACCCACTCACCAATCATATGACGCTTATATTTTTACCCCACCTCATTAGAAGTATCATTATGTTTGATTATACCTGCTGCCCTCCCACCAAGGCCGTGGGTGGCCCACGCTGATCACGCTAATCAAGACTGAAATGTGAGTGGTATTTCTTCTTTTTTTTATTTGCATGTGTGTAGAGTGGGGATGTGTGGAGCTTGATTACACCCAGATGGATTCTCATTACAGTTTGATGAGACACCAAGCATCAGTCACAGTCAACCAGTGCATTAGCAGCAAATCGCTTTAATGAATATATATTATTTTGACCCTTCTCAGAATTGGTCTTTGTTTTTCATATCACTTTCCCTTTACCTCATTACTCTCTATCTGTCCTTGCCCTTTTCTGTATTCACAAACTACCCTTTAACTCACTTTTTCAGTCCTCTCCACTGTCTTTTTCTCTAAGTCCTCCCCTGTTGTGGTTTCATTCATTTGTTTAATCACCCTTGAACATTTTCCCCTCTCACGTCCTCTCATTCTTTTCTCACTTCCACAGTTAAAACTATACATCATCCCTCAAAGCTGGAGTTGTTGTGCCAGTATAAAGAGCGTTCTCAGGTTCACAGTGTCACCTGGAAACACCAGGGTACGAATATGAAAATGTCAAGCAAGAGCCCTGGCATCATCAGCACCTTTCTGCCGTTACCCATCACTTCCAAGGAAACAGGGAACTACACCTGCATCCTGAAGCTAAAAAATGGCCGGGTCATCTGGGTGGACCAAGCTGTCACACTGCCCCCTGAAGGTAGGAGCAGCTGCATGTTATTTTTTTATTTGTTTTACTTTTTGGATGAGTAGGGACATAGTAAGAGCATTATATTAGTAGCACAGTATTCCTGGTAGACTTCCTGTCGACTTGGTGGAGATAATGAACCATGAGTGTGGATAATTCACGGATATGTGCTTCATGAAGCGTTCTCTGGTGAATTAAAGCCAATCTCAGGTCAGTTCATCTGCCAGAAATCCTGTGGTTCACAAAAGAGAAAGCCCCTGACAGATACCATATGTTGGACTTACATGATGCAGCTCAAGGGGTCACAGATCATAACTTCTGATTATATCCAGCGGCTTAACACATTCCCTCTATGTGTCAGTTTTTCATAACAATCCCATATAGTCCTGATACAGGCAATCTCTCCTTTTAAAAAAACTGGTCATACATTTTTTTTATCATCCTCACCCAGTTTATATGTGAATATGAGAGTACAAGACCATTGGAAATTTCTCCTCACCACAGCTAAATTATTCAGGCTTTTTTTTACTGTGGCCAGCAGGTTGTGACAGTTGAATGGAACAGAAATGAGTTAACCCAACCCATTACTCCAGCAGAGGGGCTCTAAGTCAATCAAGATGCCCTTTCATGATTGAGCTGTAAGAATAATGTACCGGAGGTATAAGGAAAAAATAAAGATAAGGAGAAATAATAAGTAAGCTGGATTAGGCCAAATAAATGTTTCATGTTAGTGACAAGATTTGGACTTTTTCAGTTCATCATGAGGAATTTAGACGGAGCAGAGTGGGAAGTTAAATAATTGTGAGTTTTGGATGACCTACATAACACTTGAAAAGTGTCAGGATGCACAGAAGCTGCAAATGTGCAGGGTTACACAAAACATCATGGTAAGAAATGAATAATTAAACTATAAGCAGTGACAGTTGAGATTTTTTTTCTGTAAGGTCTCTAGAGATTTTTTCTTCATGATTATCTCTGGAAGAGAACGGAAATAAGTTCTCAGGAAGCCGAATAACAGAGACCATAAATCATGTTAATCATTGTGGGATATCTAAGGCACTGTAAGGCAAATCTCTGAATTGAGACCAAGTTGTACAAGTTAAAACAACACTGCATAATAGAATTTCTTTTACTGATGGCACAGTACAAAGAACGCGAAATTGAAGCAATCATTGTGCTCAGCAGCTCACAAAACATTTCAAATGTCAGGGATTTTCTGCAGTCATTTGCTATCCTCGGTTTGCCCATCCTTTGCGGTGCATTCAAGCAGTTCTTTGGTCTGCCTTCTGTGTGCCACCCTGCTCGACAATAACAATGATATAAATCACCCCCTCCCTTATTTGAGATGAAATAGACGAGGTGGGGAGGATGAACCAGTCATGGAGGGAGACGGAGAGAAAGAGGAGAAATGGTGCTGAAAAAGTGCTGGTATTTATGCCTCACTTTGCTATAGACCATTAACATAATTCATGCATAAAAATTGGCCTGGAGACTAGTGCAGGGCAGTTCGGGGGTCAGCTCTCACCACAGTATTTCATCAGCAACCTCAACACACACTCACCAATCATTTACACCATTCGCAGCAAATGATGATTGATTATTTTTGATGCCGGGTTAAAGCTGTGACACAAAGATTAAGAAGAGACCCAAGGATCAATCCTTTTTCAAGAAAAATGGGTGTGAATTTGATGACAGAGTAGACTTTTGTGAGTCGCATGTGCTGAAAGAGCACAGCAAGAAAATTAGTGGATTGCTGATAAAAATCGTAGTTGTTATAGGATGAGTCTAGATTGGATGTTCGGCAGTAATTTTCTGTGTAGCATATCTCTCCCATGTAATCTACAGATGTCTGGCAGATCTGAGTGCTTTGTTATCCATGAACTGTGAGCAGACAGCAACAGAGCTCTTGTTCAGGCACCTCCCTTCTGCTTTCCTTGTTGCCCTGTGACTGTGTTTTGCAAGACTGATGTCATCCTCATTATGCCAACAAGTTTGATCACACGCGTGTGCTGTTCCCACAAAATTTGAATGGTACAGCAGCGAGCTAGGGATGTGCTTTTGTAATACCTTTGATAATGATACCTACCACACCGGTTTTTCAATGCAACACTGACTGGGCTAGCAAGACATATTAAGCAGAGGTTTGCCTGAAGGCAGTTTAGAGCTGAGGGAAGCGCAAAGATGGTTGAACGCTTTACCTTACATTTAGAAAATGAGTCTTGAAATGAATATATTTTTGTAGACATCATATGTATGGAAGAGACTATTACTTGATACTTCCTCTATGTTATAACTCTGCATTTCTTCCCCTCATCCTAGTTTCAAATTGACAGGCTTTATGGTCCAGACTGAAGTTGTGTCAGATCAATGCCTACCAAGCGTTTCCACAGGCTATTCACTCTGCCTCAGAAAGCTTGGATTTCCTCGGTATCTTCCACCGCACTCTGTTTCTGTGACTGAAGGCTGTATGATGCAAAAGCGTGTAATTCGTTGAAGAATCTCTGACTGCAACGTGCCTTAATATACAGTTTGAAGTGTTCAGGAGAAAAAGCTGAACCATCTTGACCCGAACCGTGGATCAAAGCCAAAAGAGTTCCTCAATGGCTTTCATGTTGTTTAACCACACACTTTCTGTGAGTTTTCCTATTAGCTCTGTTCTTGGAAACATTCATGCTTTTGTCCTCTGCCACTTTTTTTTCCTGTTGTAGTCAGTGTCACCATCCCCTCGCTGCACCCCCCTCTCTCTGCTTTATTACTCCTGGTGCCCCTGGTTGCTGCAGCTGTCGGTGTGTTGCTATGGAGACAGAAACACATTTCTGATCGCGGTGAGTCTTCTGGCGATTTCTTTTTTGACAGCTCTCTGTGTTCTGTCCATCTTTGGCCCCTGTTGGCTGCCACTGAGTGATGTGGGCCGTGACATCCTCTGGGGATGTTGTAATGAATCTGCCCCCTCTTCCTTCCTCTCTCTGCATGTATATCTGTGTGCGTTTGTCTGTGAGATTCTATCTTTCTGTTCATAGGTATTGAGCAGTCTTTGTCTGTCCATTCCTGTGAAACAGAGAACATCTATGAGAATCCCGAGGATATCAGACAGGTGATGAATTCAACCCTTAATAGCTTAACGCCCTTTTATGAATTTCCCTCCTCTTTTTGCCCTTTCCCATACTTTCCCTCTGGTAGTTAGCTCTTTTCTCTCTTATTCTTTCCTTTTTTAGTGTCTTCTCTGTAGAGCTTTTTTCAAACATTTTGCTTCACTCGTCTATTTCTATTTTTCCTCCTTATAAATCCCTCCCTCTCTGTCGCTTGTTGTTAATTAAATCTGGTTTCTCCACTCTCCTCCTTTCCCAACAGGCTCCTCCCCAGGGTTCAGTCTACATGGTGAGTTATTGTGTTGGCCTCCGCGCACACAGACATTTTGCATATGTGCCTGCGAGGAGAGATGTAATACTCACATCGACTAGTGCATACAAAGTCTCATTCTCCTTTTTGCCTCCTCCCTAAGCTGTCAGCAGATATGCCTTCCTTCACACTTGTAGTCATCTCCTTCAATCTATCAGCCCTCTCTCAGATAAACCATTACCTGTCAGCAGTTCCGCTTACATTAGTGGTATTAACAAATCAATCTCATTGCACACTTGAGGGACATAACTCTGACCTCAGTACATATCTTTATCCTTGTCTTGACTGTCCTATACGTTCTTCCTGCTCCCCCTCTCCCTGATTTCTCCTTAATGCCAGGATTTGAAGCCAAGAGGAGAGGATGATATCTATAAGGAACTGGAGAGGTAAGCTAAGCCTTGCATCACCTGTGTGTTCTTTTATATGTGGAGATGTATGTATATGTGTGTGTTTGTGCTTGCACTGTCAGTCTATCTGCCCCTCACATTCTTCTCACACTCACCATTCACATGGGTCTGAACATCACTGTGACACCATGGTATGATATTAGGCCATGCGCTGACAGGCAGCGCTCCTTCATCTGTGCGCTGTTGTTGCGTGGGATGCCTGTGTTTGTGTTTTAGAGAGAAAAAAAGACTGGCACGGGAGATTTTTGAGCAAGTTTGCCTTTGTGCTCTGTTTTCAGATGCGAGCAATGTCAGGACTGATCACCTACCCACATCTCATCCTCATCCAGCTGTCACATCCTCTCAGTTCCCAGCTGCAGCAAAAGGCCTTTTATAAACAAGTGCAACAACAGAGTGTCATACTTAAAGAAAAACTTCAGCGCTTCAGGGAAATGAGATCCAGTTGTTTTTTATTTGTAAGCTATCGCCCTTTGCAAGATGCATATGCTTAAATACTCCTATATGTGGCTGTTAATTAATCAGACTATATATTTTTCTAAATCTGGGTGCTTTTATGTTTGTTTTTTTTAGTATCTCACTTTATATGTTTACATTATGAATGTCTTTATAAATGCAAATATTTCTAAATAAAAATGTTACCATAATGTTGTTTGTTTATCCATTTCTACCACTCAAAGTCGAACTCTGTAGCCATCATGATTTTTGATCAGCGCAGGCTTCCGTAGTGATACTCGAGGAAGAATGGCTGTCTGGATGTGGCTCCGCTGTATCGTTGGGCCACATCTGCAAAGAATTCACCGTTCACCGGAGCATTCCCGACCCGAGGACAGGTTGGGCCGGAGGGTAGGGACATCTAGATGGTTTTAAGCAACGGCCAATCGTGAAAGTTGGACGGTATTTCAGACAAGTGCTGCGGTACATGTTTGTTCCTGAAGCCCTGCTGCTGTCACTGCTCTGCATAGCCCAAAATGACAGTCGGAAGATGAATGAAATGACAGACTCATAACGAGTACATTCCACGCGTCTTTTCCTGTTTTTCTGACTTATCTAGACAACGACAGTCGGTTAAATTCTTAAACGCTGCTGTGCCTTTGTTTTTAATGTGATTAAACCGGTTCTGCGTAATGCTGCTAACAGAGACACAGTTGAGATTCAACTTTAAAGACGGAAAAAAATTAATAAAACAGCACGGAACCCAATAACGAGTAAATAAAACCCTAAGAGTTATACCTAGCTGCTGAAAATCTGCGTTTAGTCAGAACACGAACAGTGTGTGTCCGATCCATTTAAGATGACGGTGCTATCGGCTAAGCTAATGTTAGCTACACTTGTTCGGTATCAGGCAGCAGGCTCCTGGTGGGGTTCATGTTTCTGTTTTTCTGCCGACAGGGATGGAACTACCAACAAAGGGGCCTGGAAAGACACACTGACAGCATTCTTGGTTGGGTGAGTAGTACAGTTTGTGTTATCATATTGACAGTGGTTGTGTTTTGCTTGATTAAAAGTTGTATTTTCTCTCTCCAGGCTTCCACACTGTGGTCCTTGTCTTACTACAGCTCCCCTCTCCTCCTCTGCTATCTCTACAGGAAAGGTAGGCTGGATGGTGTGCAAACGGCGGAAAAAAAATATGGACAAAGTTGAAACTATTAATGAAGTAACTCAATCAAATAAAAAAATAATCTTTAGAATGCCATTGAAGAAAAGTTACATTTCCTAATCTCTTTGTTACATTTGTACATTTTTGTTGATCAAGTGGCAACTGAGAATGTAACTTAATCCGGTTGGTTGTAGATGTCTGTCACAGAGCCGCATGTAGCATGAAACAAAATCTCTTGCCCACTATTCAAACCAATCCCTTTAAGTCATAAATTTGTCATTATTATTTTATTGTTTATTGTTACTTGCAAATTTTGTCTCATTTTTAAATCTTGAAAGCCATTTTAGTTAAACAGGGGCTCGTCAAGTCTTTTTTCCCATCACCTACCTCTTTAACGAACTCGTTGGGTCTCTCGTTCCATCCCCAAAAAATTATTTCAAAAGCATTCATCCTCTTTGGGGAAAATAATGACCGTTATCTTGAGGTTGAAGCCTTATTTGTCTTTTAAAAAGTAATATCATTAATATTTGAAACATCTACAGAAGTTGATTTTATAAAAGTATGATTTTAGTATGACTATCCTTGTCTGACAGACAACCCAAAAAAACAGTTTGGTTATTTTATGGCTGATCTTGTGTTTGGATTGTTGGAGCATTTTAAGAAAGGCTACAGCAGTCGTATTGCTCTATAACACACCCCCACCCACTCGCTCCAGCTATTAGAGGTGCAAACGGCTACAGTGCTCTCATGCTCACTCTTAGTTCAGTGCCTTTCTACTCCTAAATCATGAGCTTGACATGTTTCTCTTGAAGGCTTTCTAAGTGAAATGTGTTCCTTTTTTCTGGATGACAGTTCTTCTCCTAATTTGATTGTCCTTGTAATTTGCTGTTCTCCTGCGAGGGGAATTAATATAAACTTAATCAACTGATTCATCCAATAAGACTGCGCATCGATAGAAATTAATTGCTTGGGGTTGTTTGTCACTCTGAGTTTCTGAAATTGATTTCTACACGTGGTTCCACGCTGGCAGTAATTAGTTGTTTGTGCGTGTGTGTTATTCTGCTTTTTCTCAGGCTATATTTGCAGCAGTAAGTTGGTTCCGGTGAGCCAGTATTTGGGGACCGTGCTTGTTTGTCTCCTTGGCGTGGCCTGTCTGAGAGGTGAGCACACTACAGCAAGCCCATAAACTATGGTGCTCATTTATCTATAGGTATCACATCATATTCTGAGCATGCAGCACAGCAGCAAAAATTCATAACTACTGAGACAATTAGGCCAGGTCTGTACCCCAAAAGCATACTAAACAACATCATGGAGGGTTGTTTTTAAATAGATCCTACTTATCTGTCTCTCTTGGCTTTCCTCCTGCTTAATTCCCCTCTCTGTTTCCCCGAAGGGTGGGGGAGATGGAAGAACCCTGAATATGTGCAGTTTATCTCAATTCTTGAGGAAACTAAGAAGAATCACACAGCAGCAAACAAGGTGAGGTCACTCAGACTTAAAGCAAGTGCTCAGCATTTTGTGGTACTTAAACACAATCATGATTAAGAAATAAGTCATTTTTATGATCATACATTACAACAATTTTCTTTTAGAAAAGACTGAGGGGCTATGACTTTGATTTCTCGTCTTGGCCTGCGGATTTCAGTTGGACAGAAGTCAGCAGCCCGTAGGTTTTGTCTCAATTTCCATTTTCCATTTCCCTTCTGATCTACTCCTGCGAGTTTATATTTACAAGTTGTAAAGGGTAGTTAAATTTTGGGGAATGAACAAATTCACATGAACATCAGACACTTTGTTTTCCTTGTCGTTCACAATGTCTTTGGCTCTTTGGGTGGAAGGAAACTGTCCAAAGCGGGCGTTTCATTGCTGAAGCCGGAGCCCAAACTGAGAGGAGCTGCAGACAGCGTCCTCAACTCTGTGCGCACGTTGCCATGCCACATCATCGGGTAAGTGTGAAACAGACATTTTGCCCCTGGGGTCACAGTAATTCTCCTTCAAAAGTACCCATCTAAATATTAGCCCTTTTTTTTTCTTTTTCTTTTTTTAAACAAGAAGAAAGTGTTACCCCCCCCCCCAACACACACACCCCCACACACACCCACACACACACACACACTTCTTAGCACCTTGTCCTTGTCTTCCTCTCTGCAGTTTTCTAATTGCCCACTCATTTGGGAGGAGGATGCTGTATCCTGGCTCAGTGGGTTTGCTGCAGAAAGCAATGAGACCCATGCTGCAGCAAGGCCAGGCTAAGTTAATAGAGGAGGTAAAAACCGATTTTGCTCAGTTTGACTTTTTAAAGCACCAAAAGCACCCTCTGTAAAAAATAAATTTTTATTTTCTGGCGCAGTTTGACGGCCAGAGGAACAAGCTGGTCGCCTGCGATGGTAATGAGATCGACACAATGTTTGTGGACCGAAGGAGAGATGGCAGCCAGAACGGAAAAACTCTGGTAACTTTGTTGTTTTAATGCCCTGGGCTTGTTCCAGGGCCCAGCAAAACTTCTGTCACATACAGACGGTTCTCGAATTCTGCCGCAGGTCATCTGCTGTGAGGGAAATGCAGGGTTCTATGAGGTGGGCTGCATGAACACTCCACTGGAGGGTGAGGAATGCTGTTCTTCACAACAGTCCAAACAGTCTTTAAAAGTTCTGCCACTTTTGATTTAATTTTTGGTTGATGGTCCACTGTAGGCGGCTACTCTGTGCTGGGCTGGAACCACCCAGGTTTTGGAGGCAGCACGGTAAGCACTGGTGAAATATCTCATACCTGAGTTGCATTTTGCTAGTGTCACCACTGGAAAAAAACAGTATGTGGAAATTCTGGTTACACTTGTGTAACAATGCACAATTGAGCACTCGCACACACACCCATCATTGATGAACTCACTGGGGAGGTTTCGCCTTCTAACTCCTCTAAAGCCCCACGTTTTGTATATTAACGAGCTATTATCGTAGAAGGTATGAATATTTGATGTCTTACATTGTGACTTTCCTCCAGGGAGTGCCTTTCCCCCAGAATGAGGCCAATGCCATGGACGTGGTGATCCAGTTTGCAGTACACAAACTCGGTTTCCAGCTGAGCGATATTGTCGTATATGCTTGGTCCATAGGAGGATTCACAGGTACACAAAAGACGACTACATTTTCAGGTCTTGCCTCTGATTCTTCTCACCATTGCTCTTCGTTTCCTTTCTCAGCCAGTTGGGCAGTGATGTCATACCCAGACATCCAGTCGGTGGTACTGGATGCCTCATTTGATGACCTTCTGCCTCTGGCCCTCAAAGTCATGCCTGACAGCTGGAGTGAGTAGCAAGTGCTACTTTGAATTTCTTCTTCTTTTTTGTGTTTTTTTTTGTTTCAGTAATTTAATTAGCTTTTATGTTTTTTTAATTTTTATTCAAGGACCACTGGTACAACACACAGTGAGGCAGTACATGAACCTCAACAATGCAGAGCAGCTGCTTAAGTGAGTGGATCTGACTGGAAAGACTGTGGATTGTGCAAAATAGAGCCAAAACTCGTCACGTTTCTCCTCTTCAGGTACCAGGGACCAGTGCTGCTGATCAGGAGGACCAGAGACGAAATCATCACCACCACGTAAGTGTTCACTGCCCATCCACAAAGATCTCTGCGTCATGCTTTTGTTTTCATTCGACCAGCGGAAATAGGGGTTGGCAACGGATTTCAGGATTCCCCAGAAACACCTTTCAAACTGATTTTCCTGTTATGCAACAGGCCTTTGAAAGACAAAGCCAAAGTGACTTTTTCTGCCTGTCTGTATGCTTTGTCTCCTGAAACCATTATTGATTTTGAATTCTATTCATCTCTACGTACCAGTGTCACAGGGGGCCAAACGTTTGAATTTATCGAAAAAAACATTCTATTGAATTTGTCTGAATTAATTTTTATTTACTATCTTGTCACATTTTCACAAATCAGACGTTTGTCCTTTTCTTTTTCTTCTAATTAATTACGAATGCAAATCTTGAAATGTCGGAATCTTAGTTGTGTATCAATCTCCATTCCAAAACACCCCAATACCTTAATAGTACTTTTGGCAATGCAGCAACTCTCATTATCTCATGGAGAAAATTGATTATTTTCTCCTCCAATCACCAAACATATGTCTCTTGCAGGCCATTATCTCCTGTTTATATTGTGAATTTATGCGTCCATTTTCAGTGCCGCATCTGCCAAGTGGTTTTTTTTTTTGTGTGAAATTTAATTAGATTTTTTTTTCTTGTCTCACTGAGCTCTAAATATATTTCTGTCATGCTGCATTTTAGACGTATATTAATTAAAATTTTTTAGAATTTAGCTGGCAACACAGGCTAAATTGTCAGGAAAGCATGTCACACTAACTCCATGCATGTTGCAGTGGTCCAGAGGACATCATGTCAAACAGAGGAAACGATCTCCTGCTCAGACTGCTTCAGTTCAGGTCAGAAACCTCATTCTCACAGATTTGGACTCTGTATTCACTCACTGTATTTGAACTAGTCGAGGGATTGGTGTAAGCGGTGTCCATAATTTCCTTTTCAGGTATCCCAAAATAATGACAGATGATGGGATCAGAGTTGTCAGACAATGGCTGGGAGCTGCCGGTCCATTAGAAGAAGGTAGGAGGAACCATGTCTGCGTGATATTTGGAGCTATTGTGTCTGTATTTATGGATCAAGTTCATTATAAAGCATATGTAACGCCTGCCCACCTCCTGTCTGCAGCATCTGTGTACAGTGGCTATGAGGTGGACGACGACTGGTGTGTGTCTGTGCTGCAGTCCTATCAGGCAGACAGAGATGTTTCGTTTCCATGGAGCGTTGGTAAGCTCCAGTTCCTTTCACTGCAGGCAAATTAGCTGCTCACAGCGCCGCGCACAAACATGTTTTGCCTCACAGTGTGCTTACCTTATCCGACACCTTAATGTCACCAGGTGAGGACATGACTCTGGAGGGAAGGCGGCAGCTTGCTCTTTTCTTGGTAAGGAAGTGAACTATTGCCATCCGCTCTTTGAGTTGGGCTCCTGTCTGTCTGGTTAGTGGGGCCGGCGCTCGCCTTCATTCCATCTCGCCAAGCAGATTTTTCTTGACACGGCCAGTTTTTTCAGTTCGGTTTTAATTTCTTTTCCTCCAGTAAGTCAATGTTCTTTTTCAGGCTGGCTTACCTTTTTCTCCTCTATTGAAATCTGGAAAAATAAGGGGATGGGGGGGGGGTGTGGTATATCACAGTGCTTCAGACATCATTACCACTAAGGAACACTGTTGTGGTTGCCATAGTAACCAGCTCACCTGTGCTCTCAGGTTGACTGGTGTGATATATTTCACCACGCTCAGCTTATTGAAGTCATTTAACATCAAACAAGAGGAGTGCCATCAATTACAGCTAATGCTCTGCTTTCCTCCCCTGATAATGCCTTCTAAATTGGGCTTTATTCACCTCCCATGTAAACCCGTAAGAGATGGGAGAGATTTGGAAGGCACTGAGACAGATAGACTGAACCTAATATAATCAAGCTCTGCACTTTTTGTTCGTCGCCCTCCCACACATCTAATTCTCCATTCCTCCTCCATCCCCGCTGTCTCTTCTCCTCCCTCTCCAAGGCACGGAAGTACATGCGAAACTTTGAGTCGACACACTGCACCCCTCTCCCCGCCACCGAGTTCCATTCTCCCTGGAGACTGTAAAGAGAGAGGTTGGATGGATGGATGGATGGAAGGAGGGCGGGAGGCGAGCAGCAGGAGTTGGCCTGTGGTCAGAGTGTTCCTGGCATGGTGTGAATGTACTATTGTGATTTTTGATCCTGATTTACCCCGCACACAGCCAAAAACTCAAACGTAGTACTTTTTTTTTCTTTTTAGGTTACTGTTAAGTCATTTGGTTAAATGTTTCTTTTAAAAAGGAAAAAGAAAAGATGCATTTAAAATAAATGCACGAGCCATTACTCACTCCTTCCATTGTTCCTTCTTTTGCTGTATTTGTAAAGCAAATGTAAGCAGACAAACACTGCAACAGTTCAATGAATAAAAAAATTATCCTAATGTAAGATTAGAGAAAATTTCCTCTTTAAAATGCAGCTAAAGTGTTTCAGGTTTTTCCTTGGAGGGTACAGTCCTTCTGAGGAAAGCTGATTTCTAAAATAATGCTGTTTAGTGTTCCATTAAATGTCCAATGAAAAATTTAGATGAGGGATTTAATTCTTTGGTTAATCACAATGTAACAAGTGTCCGCCAAATTTGGGACATAAAGGGACCCTGATTAATAGATCGACCCAGAACAGCTGCTATCGTCACTAATAGGAGCTTTATTGTATTTTTTCCATACTACTTTCAAATTGAAAATTAACACAAAGACATGAAAATGAGGGAGTAAATCCTGATTTACATAAAAGAAAGATGGAAATTACATCATTTTCCTGAAATTGTCAATGGCTTCTTTCACTTTCTCAAGTTCTGTCTGGCTCTGCCGTAGCTGTGAGAGGGGAAAAAAGAAGGAAGCTATTATTTAGCGGGAGTGAACACGTCTTGGAGCTTGAGAAACCCTGCAAGTCAATTTCTTTTTCTCACCTTCTCTGCATCCTGCTCCTGCACCTTCACCGGCACCTTCTCCCTGTAGTCATTCTTTGTCATCTTCTGGCTCAGTTTCTCCATCTGTTTCTCCAAGTCCCCTTTCTTTGTCATAAGCTTAGTCACTTCCTTGTCCACGTCAATCAGACCCTGGGAGGCGGGAGCGAGAGAGCAGAGAAGGACAACAGTAATAACTTGTAAATCTGTTATTTCACGTCTGTAAAGGATAAAACGGATAAAGTGTGTCTGGGACGCCGGCCAGGATTATCATATCCAGATGATGCTCGCTGATGTCTTTTACGACTGTTTCGGTATGATGCAACGTGTCCACATTTACAGGAGCATTCAGCTAATGGACAACTGAAAAACACTGATAAGTCTGCAGCATATGAAACCTAAAGAAAAAAAACTAACATACCAGAGGGAAGGAGACAATAGAAAACGGGGCAGATGACTGGCCCTCACCTTTAGCATAAGGTTGACGGTACATCTGTCGGAGGCGATAGCCACAGCGCAGCCCTCTGGGACCAGCTGGCCGGCTGTCAGAGGGATGACGGCCTGAGAGTAAGACAAGGTCTGAATCTGCAGATTGTATTTCTGCACCAGTGACACCGTTGCAGCGTCTATGCACTGAAGGTAGCCTAGAAGGGGGGGAAAAAAAGCAAAATATTAGGCATCGCAATAATAGCCTAAAAGCACTTCTTCCATTTGCATGTGTTAATACAATTAATACAAAGCAGAATTTTCAAAACCACAACGCGAGTTATGCAAAAATGATTCTGAGAGGCAGATATGTGGACAAATGATAGGAAATGCAATTGAGTTGAAGAATGAAGGGTCTGGAGATGAAAACAATTATGTGAAGTGCCTTGACTGGGCTTGAGTGCAGTGGAAAACAACCTGTAGGATTATTTATCGGTCCAACATTAAAATGACTTTTCTCCAATTTAGTGAGGGTTTGAGAAAGGTGGGTGAGCCAAATGTAAGGGCTTGGAGACAGAAATGAAATTTGCTCTGTCTCACAATCAGCTCTGGTCTTGGTCAGGTTGTAGTCGGCCCTGAGAGAGCGGATCGTCTTGACCACCGTCATGATGAACTCCATGTCCCGGTCTATCTCCTCACTGTTCCAGCAGAACTACATAAAAAAAATATGTCAGGCCTCTAAATCCCAGTCAAAAGTAAACACAAGATGCATCTCCCTTATCAGTACTGTGATAACTGAGTGATTTTAAAGTTGCACATCTCACCTCCTGCGCGTCGGGGTAACGCGTGACGCAGATGCTGGGGGGATCGGTCTGAGGCCGTCGCCGCGGCAACCTCTGATAGAGCTCCTCTGAGACAAAGGGCATCATGGGAGACAGAAGCCGCAGGCCGACCTCCAGGCAGGTGTAAAGGGTTTGTCTGCACACGGCGGCTCGTCTGTGGCTGCCGGCGTCTCCCTCCGCTTTGCTGAACACGGGTTTCACACTTTCCTGGGGTTACAAGGAGATCTCGTTATCGCCCACAGAGGAGACGCGCTTTCAGACAACAGGAGAGGATCACCGAAGTGTTCCGCTTTAGGTGTCTCAAGAGTTTTGCCGTTACCAGGTAGATGTCGCAGAGCTCGTAGAGCCAGAAGTTGTAGATGGCGGTGGTGATGGCGGGGAAGTCGTAGGCCTTGAAGCCGGCGTCACAGAGGCTCACAGCCGCGCTCAGCCTGGACAGGATCCACCTGTCGGACACGCTCTCCTCCCCACACATCTGAGGGATCGGGAAGAGTGCAGAGACAAGATGTTTAAAGATAACTTTAAAAAAAAAAAAAAAAAGTTCAGCTGACATGATCAACTAGGCAAATTACTGCGGCTTTTCTTAAAATAGCGTTCTCTGTTCTCCGTCTTGTCACCTGGGCTTTTTCTGTCGGTATGAAGTCGTCACCCAGCGTCTTCATGGCGAATTTCACCGCGTTCCACAGTTTGTTGCAGAAGTGACGGTAACCCAGGATACGGTTGACATCCAGGTTTATATCCCTTCCTGAAGGTAAAGGCGGAGTGGTTCATTAAAACGAAAATGCACGCGAGAATTTCTGGTCACCTGATCAAAGTGCAGACTGTTGTTCAGCGCGGTGACATTTCTGCGTGTTTATTTTAAGACGGCAGCGTTGAGGCCAATTACAGGGAAATAGCGGAGGCACAAAAGATAAATGGGTTCACCTTGGCTGGTGTAGGCGCACAGCGCAAAGCGCAGAGCATCTGTCCCACACTCCGGGATGCCACTGGGGTAGTCCGACTTCTGGCCTTGTTTGGCCCTCTCTACCTCCAAAGGATCCAGGTTGCTCTCTACCAGCTGAGCATGAAGACCCTGGAGGATGGAGCGTCATAAAAATGAAAATAATTCAAAAGTAAGGGTGTGTTCAACATTTCTCTTCCCTCTATCTTATAATAAATTATACAACAATAATAAAGAAGCATAAGAATACTTTTTCAGCTGCTTAATATTTCAACTGGCAAGGGAGGAAAAGACCTTTGGAAGGAAAACATTCAGGTTAAAGTTCAATTTTTTACTCCAGGTCGTTCGATGCCCTCTAGAGGACAGGTCTGTTGCATCAGCCGGAAAAAAATCTCCCAGCAGCAGCAGCTGCAGAGATTGATGTGCGCAATAAAAGCTTGTTGGAAGGAGAAGTAGGTGCTCAATAAAGCTTATATAAGAATATTGGCCTCGGGGGACTGAGCGGTGTGTGACCATAACAAAGGCAACCTTAAGAGAAGCGATGGAAAGAGTGTGTCGGAGTGTGTTTGCCTCCATCTGATTTTGCATTAGGGTGTTTTATTGGACTGTACCTCTAGAGAGATGCCTGTAATGACATCTAGTGGGTCGATGACATTGCCCAGAGACTTGCTCATCTTCCTGCCGTGAGCGTCCCGCACCACAGCGTGCAAATAAACCTAACAGACAGGTTAAAAAAACAAACAAACACTCATGGCCAGGTCGGATAACACTCTCTGGATATCTTGATGCGTGGTGCTGTGAGGGGTCTCACCTCTTTGAAGGGCAGCTTGCCGGTCAGTTTGAGGCCCATCATCACCATGCGGGCAACCCAAAAGAACAGGATGTCATGGCCCGTCTCCAGCAAGGTGCCGGGGTAGAACACGTTCAGGTCCTCCGTCTGAAAGCAGACCACAAAAGGCAGTGAGCACGCTGAGAAAAAAAATAAACTGTTTCAAAGTCAGATTTTATGAGGATGGTTCGCTCAAATGGACTTAAACCCTTTTAATATAATAATAAAAGGGAACATGGAATTGAAGTGGCGGCTTTATCCGGTTTATAAGCTTTTCTTTATAGCTGCGTTTCTGCAGCAGAACAGATCCAGCCTCCTCCTCCTGGGTATGCAGTCAGCTGACCTCGGCCCTTACCTCGTTAGGCCATCCGAAGATGGAGAAGGGGAAAATGCCAGACGAGAACCAAGTGTCCAGAACATCCTCGTCTGAGAGAGAGGAACAAAAGACACTTTTTTCTTTATGAACATTGAGGAGAATTAATTAAATTACATGACTCTGTGTGTTGGCATAACCCGAAGTCATCACACGCCCGGCTGATAAAATAACCGCAGCGCCGAGTCAGCTGAAAGCGGGAATCTTACCCTGTCGGAGGGAGATTTTGTCCACAGACACACCGAAACGCTTGGCTGCCTTTTCCCTGGCCTCCTCCTCTGATCTCCCACTCACCCAGTAGTGGCCATCCATGTCCTGGAGGAGATAAGGAAAAAGAGGGATTAAATATAAATGATAGGTGAGGATGTGAGTAATGAGGATGAAAAATAAAAACAAACAAAAAAAGATTTTTGTCCTTCATCGTAAAGCCTCCGGACCTGGACAGTGGTGACGGGAGTCAGCTTACCTCTCCTGGTTTCACTGAGGGATCGTCAACAGTGACGAAGAAAGCAGGAATACGATGACCCCACCACAGCTGGCGCGAGATACACCAATCTCTGACCGAGAGACGGGAGGAGAGAGGCTTTGAACGGAGCTGCTCGCTGTCGCTGTACATGATTTGGTTCGTCTGTCTTATGAACCCCGACCGACGAGCGGAGGCACTGACCTGATGTTGTCCATCCAGTTGAACCAGGTCTTGAGGTGGTGATCGGGGATGATTTTGAGGCGGCCCTCTCTGACGGCGTCGGCGGCCTGTTTGCCCATGTCCCCGCAGCTCACGTACCACTGCGGCTTCAGCAGCGGCTCCACTATGTCTTTGGAACGGCTGATGGAGAGGATACCAGGCGGGGCTTTGAGGGCTGATCCCAAACAAATGGCCTGTGGGCCGAATGCACCGAGGAGCAACCTTACCTGCACACGGGGACAACCATGGGGTTGTCTTTGATCTCTTTGAACTGGTCTCTGTCCTTGAGTGCCTGCAGCACAGCTTTCCTGGCCTCGAAACGCCTCATCCCCTGCAGACAGAAATGGTCACGAGCGCTCGCGTTAGAAATAAAATGGCGACGAGGAGACAAGAAGAGGCCCGGCACTTGCTGTCACACGGGGGGAAAATGAACAGAGGGCAGGAGGCAGGCCGATAATGAGACACCGTACCAGGAACGGAGGAGGCACGTTAATGAGGAGGCCGTTTTCATCCAGGATGTTGATGAAGGCCAGATTGTGTCTCTCGCCAACCTCGTAGTCATTATGGTCATGGGCCGGGGTGATTTTGACAGCACCTGAGCAGAAGGTTGTGGGGGGGGAGGGAATAAAAGGACTCCAGTAATGAGGAAAAGGGCTGAAAGGAGAAGATGTCTTAGCCCACGACCAACAGACCTGTTCCGAAGCTCATGTCCACAAAGTCGTCGAAGACCACGGGCATCTTCCTGTCACAGAAGGGGTGCAGCACCATCTTTCCCTTCAGATGCTGGTATCTGGGGTCCGTGGGGTGGACGGCTACAGCCGTGTCTCCCAGCATAGTCTCAATACGAGTCGTGGCCACAATCACCTCCTCATCTGGAGAGTAGAGAGAACAGAGAGACTCACTTACCGACAGGGCACACAGTGTCTCTGCTAAAGTGTTCTGTTCCGTCTAGGTTCACGTACCAGATCCATCAACCCTGTACGCAAATGACACCAAGACTCCAAACTCCACTTTGTCCTTGTATCCAGGCACAGGCAGCAGAGTTCTGCCGGTGAGCTCCTTTTTATCCACCTGAAAGGCAAACAGAAGACTTAATCACCGGAGCACGCAGCGAGCAGAAAGGCAAAAGGGATCGTTAGCATTCCGGCTCGGCACCTTCAGTTCCAGCGTGCAAACAAAGAAACCTTTTTCATATGTGATAGATTAAAAACAGACTCCTGAACTCCAGTGCTAAACAAATTAAACACACTGTAATGTCAACAAAAATGGGTTTTCCAATAATCTCCGATCATAAAAAAATGAACAACATTTAATAACCTAAACTGCTCCTCGCAGCTTTAAATCACATCAGAAATAGTCTCGGGAATATTTTTAGGAGAATCTAACTTCAATACTAAGTCGCTGCTACCTTTGGACACACATCTGACAAAGCTTTATAAACATTTCTAAAAATCAACTTTAATCATGTCGGCTCAAAACGCAAAAATTGGCATCGATATTAAGATCAAGGCAGGCAAATGTTACAGCATGAGTGTTCGCACTTGGATGACATCCAGGAGCAGATTGGGGTGCAGATGAGTTGGTATTTACAGAAGCCCTACAGCTCGTTTTCTGTTAGTGAGGAGAGTGACATCAGTGTAGACTGCAAATGTCCTTATTTACATACATACATTGCAGCTGATTGGCGGCATTTCTTTGTTGGCTCTCCCTCACTGGTTCAACGTACGATATAAAGCTCCTAAAAGCATCGAGCTGAGCTGATCTGTCCCATCCATAATGGTAGAATAGGGTAACTTGCACACACCCACACAAAAACAGAGACATTCCAGCAAAGTCCCTAAAAATCAGAGTAACTCGCCTCTATGTCAGAGATGGCAGAGTTGAGTGTGCAGGACCAGTTGACCAGTCGTTTGCTCCTGTAAATCACTCCCTCATCGTGCATGCGGATGAAGGCTTCTTGGACAGCATAGGACAGTTTCTGAAAAAAGGAAGATCACAGTTCAGACTTTCCTCAAACAGATGGTAGTATAGAGACCTGTTTGAAAAACTTACTGGATCCATTGTGAAGCACGCTCTGTCCCAGTCCAGAGAGGATCCCAGTTTCTTTAGCTGGTGATAGATTCGGTCTCCCTTCCTGTAAAAGCCTAAACATTAGTTCTTTATGTCTCTTATGCCTCCGCGCGGTCGTTTTACTGCCCCTTCTACTTACTCGTTCTTCCATTTCCAGACCTCCTGGATGAAGTTGTCCCTGCCCAGATCATGGCGGCTCAAGCCCTTCTCTCTCATTAGCTTCTTCTCCACCACAACCTGGGTGGCGATGCCCGCGTGGTCGCAGCCCGGGTTCCACAGGGTGGTCTCGCCTCGCATCCTGTGCCTGCACACACAACAAGGCTCTCCTTCAGCTTCAAGTGGGCCGACAGTGTTTCCATTCCCGGCCACGGAGCAGCCCAGCAGCACCTACCATCTGGTCAGACAGTCCTGGATGGCGTTGGTCAGGGCGTGACCCAGGTGAAGGGATCCAGTCACGTTAGGAGGGGGGATGCACATCATGAACGTGCCACGATGGTTCTGCTCACTCACACTCTTTTTCTACACAGAAGGATAACAAAAAAAACACGTCACGCGGGCTCAGGAAACCAAAGAAATCACTCTCTGTGTTGGAGGACTCTTACACCATACTCAGGCTTGAAAAATCCCTGCCTCTCCCACCACGGATACCAAGCAGCCTCCACATACTGAGGACTGTAGGAGTCGGGGAGCGGAGCGACAACATCTGAGCAGGGAAGGCATAAAGAAAGGGCAGACGTCAGCCATCCGTTTAACACGCAAACAAATGGTTACACTGTTAATGTTAGAAAGGGAGAAGAGACCATAATGCTGAAGAACTTTGGTTTTGCAGCATTATGACCCATTTTGACCCAAAATGGACCCAATTTTAATTTATTTTACTGAGTTTTAATGTTAGACTTGGGCTTTTTTTCCCCAGCCCTGCAAAGTGATGTTTCTTTCTTATGAACCTGAATCTTAAAACAGTGAGGGCACAACCAGAGCCTGTCTCATGGAGAACTGCACTCACACCAAACACACTTTTGAACGACAGGAGCACTTGTCTTTTTGGGTTGTTTTTGTCAGTTTGTTTCTACCCAAAAATCACAAATGCAACCATCCATTTTAAATCCTTTGGAACTGTTATGTTCCTGATAGCATTGTGAATGCAAACAGCAAAAATATGCCCTTAAAAGTAAGCAGTACTTAAAAATGAAGTTTTTCATTTGGCAAAATCAGGGCATTTCCAAGCCAAAGAGAATACCCACCTTTCTTTTCTCCTGCAGCTGTAGCAACATCATAAGTAATCACGCCCAGCTCCTTCTTCTCAGGTTTGGCTTTTTTCTGGGGAAAATAAATGAATAAATAACAGGACACAACAGAGTCAGTCTATGATAAACCTCCTTTGGGATCTAAGACCATATCTATGAATCTCAAAGTGACACCATCTCCCTGATGGATCTGTGAAGTGTTGAGCATCCATACCTCTGCTGGCGGTTGTGTCTTTTTCTTTGCCTCCATTTCTTTTTTCTGTTGGAACTTCTCCAGCTTCTCCTTCTTCTTTGCTTCCTTTTTCAGCTGTGCCTCTGTCTTTGGTGGTCCTGAAAGAGGAAAAATACATTGAGTACAGCATATCAAACTACGACTCATTAACAAAAATAAATGCTCACGTGGGGTTTTATTACCATTCTCTGTGGCCCCGGCAGACTCTGCAGCTGCACTGGCCTCAACCGCTTTACCATCTGCAGCAGCATTGGTTTTTGGTGTTACTGGCACCACCTTCTGGCACGGATCAATCTCCCCCAAAACCTTCAGGAACTGCGGCTGGTTAATGCAGGTTGTGAACCACCTGGTGACATTCATCACCTCCTTCTTGTCCGATGGCTCTAATGCCTAAAACATCAAAACGACCACACATTTTCAAACTCCTTGTGAGGCCACCTGTTAAGAAGACACTGATGAAAATAAAGGGTGGCACACATACATATTTGAAGGGAAGAAGAACGGCTGTAGCTACAGCCATATCAGCCAAAGTGATGCTCTCTCCCACTAAGAAGGTTCTTGGTAAAAGGGCCTGATCAAGAACCTTCAGAACACGCATCAGCTCTGCTCGAGAACTCTGCTGGAGCTGAAGAACATAGAATCAGCAAAGAAGCCCTCAAAAAGAGGCGGTAAAAAAGTCTAACACTATATTATAAAGTGAGTGGATACCTTTTTATCTATCCCCGTGATCCCCAACAAAGGGAAGACGACGGCACAGGAAACAGGGGTCAGCTCGTTGTCGGCAAAGCTGAGCCACTGCCACACCTGGCTCTGCTGCTGCGTGCCCACGCCAGCCCTCTTCCCCTGGAAGGACAAGTACCACGCCACCGCGCTGGCCCCACTCAGGACACAGCCACCATCCCCAGCACCCAAAACCAGAGATGGCCGAGATCGAGCATTTAGGGAGGCGGGCGGGTCCTCTGTGATGACCCGAGGGCGAGAAGAGGGGCAGAACTCTGCAGCTATGAGAGCCAGGAGACTCCTGAAGTCATCTGGATGAGGGGACACATAGAGAGTGGCCATCTCTGGAGGAGACAGAACAAATGTACACTGTGAGCTGGTTATCTGAACATTTACATTTCTGTTGACAATCTTTTAGGCTTAACAAAACACACTCAAAGTCTGACTAACATTGTAGGAGTGGGTGCGTTTGCTGGTTAAATAAATAAAAGAAAGCTATTCTTGTTATCATGGCATTCATTTTGAACTAAGCCGGTAGTAATAATAAATTAAAGTTGATGCATTATGTATTCGAAACGCAAAACAACATTTTACACAAGATCAAGATAATTGTGAGATGGCCTGATGCTTTTGTTAAATGGTTAGCTCATTGTTCCACTTGTTTGTAGAGATGATCTCTACCACCTGTCAGCTGAGGGAAGTCCTGTCTGGCAGGCTAGTTAGCTTTAGCTTATCAATTAAACTAATCCTGCAGGTTCTGTCCATTTACGGCAAGTTTTACCGGGGTGGCCGCAGTTTTACACTCGGTCTTAAGTTAGTCCTGTGACTATTCAAGAAACATTCATACCTTTGAATGACACAGAGGAAGACGTCAGCTTTCTTAGCATATACGGAGCCACATGAGTACTCCCTGTTTCTGCGCCTGCGCAGTCTGATGCAATGAAGCAACGTGTTCCGGGTTTCATCCACCACTTCCGCCAAGAGTCAGTCTCTAAAATGCTATGTTATTGTTATTATTATTATGAGTCGTAGTAGTAATAGTAGTGTCTTGAAAAATAACAAATATCTTATTCATACAAAAGGGAATTTATTTGTCAGTAATTATATAGTAAAAATGTAGAAGATTACATTTAACGGAATTTTTCATTTCTCTCATTAGTAAGAATTAAATAATGTTTTACGGACACTTTTATATTGATTAAAAGATAAATCTAGCACAGACAAGCCACACTATTCAGGAAATAAATAACTAAATAAATTAAATTAGATTAAAAATGTGTCTTTTAGACAAATAGGAATCACTGAGATAAAAGTGCAAATAAAGTTTAGTAATTGAGTTATCTTCAACCATAACAAATCCATTCAAGAATACAATACACAAAAAATGTAATCGAAATATAGATGATACAGCCAGCCTTTTCTTTATTTTGAATGCAAAGACGTGGCAATTATCACACAGGTTTCCTGCAGCTACATCCAAAATTGTGTGAGCACAGTGTGTTTTCTCATTATAATCACAGCCCTCAAGTACAGCAGATCATTTGAGAAAAAAGCTTTCCACAGTGAACTGTAAGAATTCCAGTGTGCAACATTTGAAATTTACTACAGCGGGATAAAAATATCTGGAAGTCCTTCTTTAACAGCAAAGGCATATCAAATAACATCTTCAAACATTTGTTCATTTTTCAGACTCCCAAGTGCTAAAGAAATTCACAAAACAAAGGTAGACAAATATAGTTTATTCATCCTTCACTCTGACTCCCGCCCCCAAAAGCTTCTCTGACTGTTTCAATGACCATGTCCACCACTCCGAATATTAACCCCCCTGAAACCCTGAAAGCATTGCCCACTCCATTTGCACCTCTCCACGCCAGCCTCCCAAAACCTCCACCTACAGCTTGAGCTTGACCACACATCTCATACATCACAGTTTCCACATAACCCTCACTCTGCTCATACATCCGCCCTCCAAATAGCTTCGTCACCCACCAAACGTTATCCACTGCATCTCGAAATACTCCCATCGTGTCCCCTGCCAGGGTTCCCATGCCTGTGAATCCGGTACAGCAGCTGTTGAGCAGGGCGCCGAACATTGAGGAGGAGCAGTAGTAAATGCTGGAGAAGCAGGTCCCACCGACACCGAGCAGCATCTCTGCTGCCGAGCCCACCCAGGACAGGAGGTCAGAGGTGAGGAGGTGGAACAGGTTGACCGTGTCTCCGGGCAGGGCGGAGAGAACTCCAAGATCCTCCTGAAGCACGTAGGTCACCTGAGTCGAGACAAGGAGTGTCAGATATGCACTGCAATTTAAAAATGAACCCATCAATGAAGCAACCAGTGACAACACAGCCAACACGAGGAGTCAGAGATGAGATCGAATGAGGAGATGAGACTCTCAATCTGGGGAGGTTCAAATATAAAGTGAGTATACAAACCAAAGAAGTTTTCTCCTTAAAAGAATTGGCCATTTTTAAGTAATGACAAGTTAAAATGACACAAAACGAATGGAGTTGTAAAGTTTTTTAGCTGCTTTTACATTTTTGTGTTGTTATTGTGTTCCATAATTTCCATCTCCATTCAGTATTCATCAATACTGAATGGGGGGGGATATAATACGGCTTGTGCTGTAACACTTTACTCTTCTTTTTTCAAATCTCTTTATGCCTCCCTTGTAACTGTATCAAATTTCTGACATAGTCTGACTGAGCCAATTTGAGTTTAATCCAAACAAAATCAAATGAATGTGTTTCATTCAGTTGCATCACCTGTTCAGGTAACTGCGTGATGGTTGAGAACAAAGGACGCAAAGGAGCTTTGAGGATGGACACAGTGGTGGACAGGATGCAGAACAGAGTGCTGGTGGAATTTGCATCTGCCTCTTCTTGAACACTTTCTGATTGATCATGCTGGTTTTTGCTGCCGCTCTGTGAAGTCACAGTATCTGCCTCCGTTTCTCGTGTAAGCTCGGAAACATCAGGTTCCTCTGATTGAGCATCGACATCAGCTGCGTGTTCAGAACCTGTTGCCTCCTTTCCACTGCCCGTTACGGCCTCATGGGCATCGGGAGCAATGCTTTCTGATGCCGCGTCTGCAGGATCGGCAGGCTCAGATTTTTCAGAACTTCCAGGGAGCCCCTCACCGTGAAGAGCCTCTCTGAGAGCAGCTGTCTCGTCTTTTCCTCCTCCACAGCCCTCAGAGAACAGCTGTAATGCCCCCAGCATCTCCTCCAGCTCCTGCATGCTCACTTGCCTCTTCCCCTCCCCTGTCACGTTGATTAACCCCATGCTGAAGCCACCCCTCCCGTCCGGAGGAGCGCAACACGCTGCAGCCCACAGAGGTGTCGTCTGACAAGATTCATCTCCATCCCCAACTGGCGCCAGACCTCCCTCCCCCGTCAGGATGTAGATATCGCCCCCTAAGGTGCTGCACTGGGGAATGAAGCTTGACTTCACCAGTGCTGTGACTGCTGAGTCCCAGTGATGAAGAGGGGAATCTGTGGGCGGCACAGGATGAGATGGATCCCTGCTTCCTCTGAGAAGAGCTGGGACCGCTACTTTAACTCCGTCCCCACCTTCCTCTGCCTGTTAGACAAAAATGACATAAATAACTGTTTAATTATGAGCAAATAAGAACGTCTTGGTGCTTCAATCAGTATTTTGACACATGAATGAACACATTTAGATTGAATTCTTTTTAGGTTTGTCATACTCAACAACAAAAAAATCCCTGTACTTTTATCCAGGTTCTCAATCAGTTCTTGTGTGTTGATTCCTCCTCTCACCTACAGGTATGGTACTAACTACCCTTAAATGCAAAACAGAGCCTCCTTTTAAGCCTCCTTAAACTCAGCTTTGACACAGATTAATTCTGGAGGGTACCGAACAGCGTCTTAAACTGACAACCATCAGACTCCTTTAATCCTCTAGAAATATTTCAGACATGGTTCGTCATGGGAACTTTAACTTTGTGGACTCTGATCAAATATTAACTTAATGTCTGCAGTTCCAGTCATTTTGGAGGGGTGGTGACAGAAGAGGAGTTGGTGAGTAGGGTGTCAGCTAGAGCTACAGGAAATGTGAAGGCAGGGTTAACACCAAAGGCATTCACTGCTGAACAAAGGCCTACAGGTTAATAGTTAAGGTTGGGGGAAAAAATCTAGTAGTGTATTCCACCTGCCACCTATCTGCAGTGTAGCTTCAATCCACTACAGCTTCAAAACAACAGATCAGAAAACAAGTATATTATGCACAAATTGAATAAGGATCCAGCTGTCAGACGGTTTGCAGGCCACATGAACAGGTTTCATCTGTTTGGATGTGTTGATCAAAATGCCGCGTTGACTGTTTATTTGACTGCATAGTTGTCAAGTGATGACCCTGGTTTCTGAATGCTACTGAAGCAGAAAAACTTAATCAAAAACATGCTTTCTAAAGAAAAAAAGGCTTGTTTTCATGCAAAATCTACTTCCAGATGTTTAGTTCCACAAACATAACTTTGTCTAATGTTATATGTTGAGACGCAGATTTCCGGTCACTTGGGTTTGTTTAATGTGAGATAATTACAACATTTTAGAACTCTGACTGTTTTTTTTAATCTTATTGTACAAAAAGTTTACCCCTCGAAAGGCTGTGATGCTAAGTCATCACATACCCCAACTGGGCATGTCTTTTTTTTAAGCAGTCATCATCCAATAGTGCTGAATCTAAATTATTTAATTCAAAGTCTGAAAGTAATTGGCTACTTTGGGTGTAAGACGATTACAGTTTGATTAAAAGTGAAGTATTCCACACGCTTGATCTTTCCAAATCAGAGCTATTACAAGCAGTGCAGTGGATGTGTCCTTACCACATACTCTTCCCCCTCCTCTTCCTCCCTCTCTCTCCATCCGTGACTGAGATGGAAGGCAGAGTAGACAGCTGTGTCACAGTTGGGTCTGGCCAGAGTGGCAAACGCCTGTCCACCGGGCAGTCTGTGGCAGCGTGGGCGCAGCGGCGGCCCTGCGGAGGCGGCCTGAGGAGGCGTGTGTCTGTAGAAGCAGTCGCTGCAGAGGCTGAAGCCCGGCTCTGAGTCCAGCTCAGCTGGAAGAGACAGGCCCGGGCCCAGCACTGCCAGCAGCCAGACAGCCGCCGCAGCAGCAGCAGCTGCACTGGCAGCAGCAGGACACAGCATGACGGTGGTGAGCTCAGCAAATCCCCCTCAGTCTCACAAACACGCCGAGGGAGAGGGAGAGCCTTCTGAATTATCCAGTGCCCTCCGCGTACAGATGGAAAAAAAAGGTGGCCGAGGATGGCTGATGAAGGCTTGTTTTTTCTTCACTCCGGCTTGTCTGCAACCATGCCTTCTTTTTAACGTCAGCTGTAGACTGAGAGGGAATCTGTTTGCAGGCACAATCTTGCTTACTCCTTCATTTGCCTCTCCCTGACAGCCTCGCCCCCACTGTCAGTTCCACCCTCTGACTCTCCCTCTGGCTGTACCTCCATTTCACCCCTCCCTCTCGTGCTCTATGGTTACACCTTTAACACCCACAGCTGTTGTGCACACAAACTAAGTCCACACCTATTACTTACCTGTAAGTCTGCATTCCGAAACAATAGAACTTGTTGAAGTTTACTCGACTAGCCAAATCTTAAAACCCATTATTCTTGGTAACAGACATTCCAGACAGTGCTGACTCAAGTCACATAGTTTAACTGCTGCAAATAAAGCAAACCTTCCCACTACAATCTGTAACCGATGAGCTTAACAATTAACAAAATCTGTTCATAAAATTCTTTTTCAATCATAATCTTCTGGCAGCCTGAGATTTGTGAGTCATCGTCTCATTAAGAGTGAAGAAATTCCTGTTATTTGAGTTCCAAGAAAAAAAAAGAGATACCCAGTTGTCTCCGGTTCCTGCTGAACTTTCTAAATATTAAAAACATACCTGTTCAGACATGATCCTGGCACTGATTGGATCTTTAAACCAGAAATAGGGATGTAATGTTATAATCTACCACTGAGCATGTGTAAGAAGAGAAGCACTCTTTCTGACATCAAGAAGAAGTGAAATTATGCATAAGAAATATGGCTAAGATTAGCTAACAGAACCCCCGGGGTGTCTGTCAAAGGTAGTGTCATGTTCCTCTGCAAAGCGGTCACACAGGCAAGAAAATCCGCTTCATGTACAGGAATGAGAGTTTTAGGGTGCGGCATTAGTTTCGGGTGGAGCATCAAACCATACTGTAAGATACGTCTAATACTTTTTTCAGACATCTAAAGTGATGGAATGAAAATGTTTTTTTGTTAAAAGCACTAAATACTTTTTTAACATTACCTCAATGTTCTCTGTGAACAAAACACAAGACAGCATTTAATTTTCAATAAAAACCTTTAGTAAGGTAAAATGATACATTTTAATGACAAAACTTTCATGGGCTCAGAGAAAATACATATTCATAATGAGAGGAAAATCTGATCCTATTTTTCTGATACATATTAGGGTTGGAAAGTAGGCAAAAATATATATATAAAAGTTCAAAACAAATAAATGGACTACAGTACCAAGGCCTGTTCTGGTGGATGGAAAAGACGGAAAAAGAATCTCTGTGAAGGACAGGCCTGCTTAAACTCAGTGTCTGATGAAGCTGTGCAGAGGGAAATGGCAAGCTGTAAAACAATTGATTCAACAAGCCCTGGACAATAACAACCTTTCAACCGACCTTTTTTTGACAGTTAGACTGCAGTTAAGCCTGAATCCACATGGGGGAGCTGGGCTCTCCTTTCCATTGAGGGATTTGCCATTCTGTACAGAAACACATTTTTTCCAAAGTTCTGTCTTCAACCTCCCCCGCACACAGATGTAAACCCCTCCATGTACTCCAATTAAATACACCTAAGCACATACTAAGGGTCACTCATTAGGGATGTCAATGACAAGCTCAGCCTCGTCTCCCTCCCCTCTGTCTTCCTCTCCCCTGTCGCTATCTCCATCACTGTCCCCCTCCTCCTCAGCTGCATCTCCACTCAGCATCTGCCTCGGAACCCAGCTGAAGGGGCCGCTGGCAGCTGGAGGTGCTGCAGTGGCTGATGGGTAGTTTGCAGCCATAGGAGCAACAACCTGTGGGGATCGGTGTGAAATGTTAGAGATGATAGAGACAGGGAGGGAGACATGATGAAGGAACAAGGAGTGCAGACAGATGGCCACATCACAGATGTGTAAAATAAGATTCTGCAAAAAAATGAATTACATATATGAATTTTTAGACATTCTAAGACGAGGGCCACCTCAGGTGTCTGAAACAGATCAATAATGTTTCAAATATTTGGAGTTGTTACTTCCTCACAGACACCGCGACATACAGTTAATCAGTTTTTTTCTTTTTTGGCCGGAGCTCTAAACCGCACCTTTACATGAAAGTGTGTGACGCTAACATTTTGTCCATCTCATTCATTTTTTCAATGAAATACCATCTCATCTTCCCCTCTCACCTTCCCCGTGGTCTCTTTCTTGTTTTTAGGCGCCTTTGTTTTTCTTTCTTTCTTCATCCTCTCAGATGGCTGTGCCAAATACTCTGGTGGGAAGGGCATCTGCCCAACACACGCAGGCGCCAAATTCCCAAATGATCACATGAGCACGCATGCACGCAGGCATGAGTGTTTACGACAGACAGATACACACACACACACACACACACACACACACAAACATACACAGAGGAATGAATGATACAAAGACAGACAAGCCATTAAAAATTTCAAACAAAAAAATAAAGAAATAAAAAAAGACATGAAAAAATGATAGAACAGAATGATAAATAAAAACGGGGATTACTTTTGCCAATGAGAAAATGACAATGGTAACAATGTTTCTGTTGCCTTGATACTAGATGTGAACTCACGGTGTTGAGGTAGGGTCCAGCTCCTGATGATTGCAGGGGATTTACTCCAGGACAGGACAGCAGGGAGAGATGAGGAGATGATGATGAGGAAAGACATGCCCCAGGACTACCTTTTCTCCTAAAAAGAATTTGAAAGAAAGGATAGACTTTCTTTGTCAGCAGATGAATATTTAGAACACTTACGAGAGCACAATAACATGGGTATCTAAGTTGTGAAACTAAACAAAGGTTTGGACCATTTAGGGTCCTGGTCTGGCAGTCAGAGGCTGGTATAAGGTGTGATGACAGTGAATGATGATGATGCCTTGTCACGGAGTGGCGCTGCTCAAGGCGCCTCATTAATCTGATTTGTTGATGTTCACTTGGGATGGACTGTGACAGATAGATGTTTCATCTAATCATGTCAGCACTTTTTTATAGTCAAGTGTCTGCTCATGTCCACACTAAATGGAGGAATTCCCAGAGGGGTTTTGTGTTGCAAACTATCTGCTGCATCATTAATTATAAAAGAGCATAAAGCTCCAAACGGGCTGATCTGACTGGTATGACCCAAATTGTAGGACCAACTGCTTAGTGCATTTCTTCCTAAAAAAAAGTTATAGAGAATGCTCAGTTTAACACATTTCTTATGAGAAAGAAACACTATCATCCTTTGAGACAATAGTAAAGACACATTAAACAGTCATTGCATTAAAAGTAACAACAAATGAAAAGAAGGTCTGCTGGGACACGCTGAGTCCTGCTATTCAAATGACAACCTGACATGAGCAAACTCTGGCTTTAGACAAACTCTCCTTCACACTCATACCAACCAAAATCTGCGTTGGCAACATCCATCCCATAGGAAAAACCTATCCACCAACAGCAAAGCCTGAATGTCTTAACAATCTACAGTAAATCCCACCCATAACCCACAAACATACATATCCATCCAGCCTGAGAACTTGTATAATATCAGGTGGTTTAAATGAAGTGGCTCACTTTGGCATCCATCTTTAACATTCTTAGCAGTAGCTCAGATTAAGCATAGAACATTATTTAGACCTGCATCTTCCTTACACACATTATTTTAAAGTAAGAGGTGCTTAAATATAAACAGGGGTAAATGTACAGATATATCAACATTGTTTCAACAGTACAGAAAACTGGACGTTTTCTAAGATTTTTTACAGTGAGTATGGATTTGTTTAACCTAAAATGTTCAGATGTCAATACTTGCTTACTTCTTTGCTCCATCGCGTTCTCTTTCCTTGTCCCTGAGTCCTTCAACTTCACTGTTCTCAGATGAAACTGTGGCATCTGAATCTGGAGGGGTGGGCAGATGAAATCCAGGAGCACAGTCAGCACAACACCACACACCAACAATTTTGTATCATTGACACTGGCATTGTGTTTCATATCTACCTGTTGAGTCTTCATCTACTCTCTCATATTGTAGTAATCTGTCCAGTAGAAAGCTGCAAAACAGATTAATTCAATTATTTACGGCCCTCATTGGCGCCTGGACCGTTAAACTGAGAAACAATCCAACCTCTTGTCCCTTGAAACCTTCAGTAGTTTTCTCTGTGCTCTCCTCAACTCCTCCTGGAAACACTCCTGCTCCTAGGAAACAAATAAAACCCAACATCATCTAAATTACAGTTCGTCGTAGTTGTAATTGAGCTGCTTAAAATAAAAAAGCACTCACATAAACAAGGAATTTTAATTTTCGTTTGAGGTTTTTGTATTTCCGCTTGTAGTCCACTTCGACGTCCGCTTGGCCGTTCATTTCTGAAATACAAAGTACACCAACTGTTTGCTGTAGCACACATCATGGGGATTTACTCTTTCTGTTAAACAAGAAGCTCTTTACATCGATTCGAGTGAAATAAGGCGAAGGGCTCAGCTAACGCTGCTAGCTGGATATATTACTATTAAAAACAACAAAGAGGTCCCGTGTTTCACAGAGCATGGAGCATACACAAACAAAGAAATATAAACGTGGAAATTTGACTTTGAAAACCTCAAAGCTAATATTCTTTTCCTGAAATCGCTTTTACCTCTTGCTTGAGTCTGTCTGTGCGACATGCTCTTGTTTACTGTTGTGACGTCGTCTTCTTCGTCTCTTGTAATTTTGGTAGGTTCGATGTCTCAGAGCACAGTGCTGCCACCCTCAGGTCAAGTGGTCCAAGTTCGAGGGTGACATGTTTCCATAAATACTGTACATCTGTAACGTGTCGAAAGTAAAAGGGATCGAGATATATACTTTTATCTAATATGGATATAGATATAAATATGTTATGATAGATCGCACCCTCTGTTGATCTTTAGGTTGCACATCATTACAAGATGTTTGACAGTGTTGTTCTTCCAGGTTTCTCATACAGATTTGACACAAAAGGATAACATTCTGGTAACAGAGCTCTCCTTTCAGTTGTGTGATCACTCTTAATTCGTTGTGTCTTGCACACAGCAATTGTGCTTTTCCTGTTTAAATCTATTGTCAGTTATCTTTACGCACTCAGTGTAACAAAGAATTTTGTCTTTATCTATGCTTTCTAATGCGATTTTAAAAAGCCTTTTTCTAGTATGTGTGAGATTCATGGTGGTATGAATTGCTAGTTTATTTAGAGGACTATCTCCCACTTCCAGCTTTCCAACCACTTTAGTGTCTGCCCCCTTTCCCTAACCCTACTTTTTCTGAAAGTACTTTACTCTCCCCTGAGTTTAATTATGTAGTGCATTGCCAGTTTTTTCTCCCTAACTACCATTAGTATTTCTCCCAATTCTGTGTAGATAGCTGGAATCACAGTTGCATAGAGGACCCTTAAACATACCTTCAAAGTTTTAAAATGTGCCTTCTGCTTTTTTGCATCAACAACCATTGCATTGTATTCACCTTGTCAGGAAAAAGGCAAAAATGTTTTTGTTTGTTTGGTCCAAACGTGATAATATTTTATCATTTTCTTTGCCTTGTTTTTTTCAGTGTTTTAATGTTTTATTAAAATATATCACAGTGTAGTAATTCTGTAGTGTATCACTGATACAATTACTGATACAATTATCAGTGAATTACTGATAAAAATGTACTTATGTATGCTACAAATATGCCAAATTGAAATGTCAACACATTTTTTTACCTGGTCATTTAAAACAACATATTTTTTCCAATGCAAAAGCCTTGATTTTTTATCATCCGTCTTTTTAAATTGCCCAGAATAATAACAATCTAATGTGATAAGTGTTAATAAACAGATGTTGCATGAAATTGCTATGTGATAAAACCCTAAAATGAGACAGAAATATCTGCAGTATCCCTGTCATAGTTCCACATCTTGTTGCGGTAACAATGGCTGTTTCACTGAATCACCTTGTGTGTGTCCTCCCACCTGCCGCATACTGTAGTGCATCGAGTTTGCTTCTTAACCTTAGCTCAGCACAGTCTCTTGCCAGGGCTGAGTAGCATGAATTATAGATGAACAACATTTGCAGAGAAGCTGCTTCAGTGCACATACGCACAGACTATGGCCAGACGCCCCTGTGTGTGGGCTTGATGGGGGAGGGGAACGGCACAAGAAAAAGTCAACACAAGTGGACAAACCAGTGGCGATTCGAGAAATAGAGGAGGCGTACTGCAGTCGTGCTTACAGATACAATTACTTGAAGGGTTGGTTACCATGAATGACACAAATAAATCTGTTGTTCCCCTCGGACAATATTAATAGCCGCACGGCACAGATGGTGAGACAGCATAATTTCATGCAGCTTTCAAAGTAAGTGTAGGATCCTTTCATCCTTCACCCATAAAAAAAAAACACCTTTCAAAAATAAACAGGGATGGTTTCCTTTCTGGGTAAAACAACTGCTGATATGAAACACAATATCTGACTAACTGGCTGTCGCTCTTGTTGTTTCCAAAGACACTGCGAGACAGAAATAGATTCATCTGTGTCTGCTGCCATAAATCGCTGCTGCCAGCCAGAAAGCTCTCCTGGCATCTCCAGTTATCTGCCTCTTTCCCACCCCTTCTCCCACTTTTAATGGATCCATATATTCTCAAGTCAGGCTGTTGCTCCTGATCACCCGTGCTCGTCAATACATTTCTTCTTGTTCATTTTCTGCTTGGATGTATGTCCTTGTCTGACTGCAGTGTTCGTCCTGCTGGCATGTGTGTTTTTCTGTCTCACTTTCCCTCCGTGTACTGACATGTTTCAATGTCCTTCTCTTTGTATCCGCAATTCACTGCCAATATCAGCTTTGATTTAGGTTTTTCAGAGATCTTTTTGTTTCCTTTTTTTGTTTGTGAACGCAGACAACTGGAATGTACCAAAACCACATCAAAGACACCAACAACAACTGCAATAAAAGCCTGCTCTCTCGTCACAAGGTAAGCTCAAAGTTTACAGTTTTAACCTAATGCTTCACTTCAGGAGATAGATCTTTTTGGACATGTGACTGTATATATTAAATAATCAATATGTTATTGGCAAACAGATTCAGTTTGCATATTAAATGAGTACCTTTCTGTCCCTGTGTGATTTCTCCAATGTTCTGTCACTTGTGTGCCCATGTGCTTGTGTGTGTGTGTGTGTGTGTGTGTGTGTGTGTGTGTGTGTGTGTTTCAGGAAAAGCTTATCCAGGCTATTAAAAGGATCAAGCATGAGGTAGATGAATGCAGAGAAGCAGAAACAGACACGCACATAGACTCAGTGGACGTGGAGGTACCATTGCAGCATTATTCATTCTTTTGCTTTTGCTTTTTTTTCTGATGCTAGTTTAGGACACATTTATTTCAGTTTAATATGAATAAAGGGAGTAAAGGATGACAGTGATCTCTAAAAATGCTTTGACCATTTCTCTTCTTGTCATGGCTTCAGAGAGCATCTGAAAGATGATAGTGGTCTCAGAAATATGGGCACAGAGCTTTACAGGACATCTTTGCAGATAATTTCCCTTTAGTTTAATCTTCAGCAATCAAAACATTGATTGGTTGGATTGAAATCAGCTGCCAGGCTCGTCAGTTGCAGAATATTTCACTCTTGAGTGACTTCTCCCCTGAACTGTGAAGAACCATCCTGTCAGCTTTTCAGATTTTTAAAGACTGAGCTCAAATGAGGATATTAGAGCCAGTGTCCGAACACTTCCAGGCCACTTTGTGTATTCATGGAACTGAACGTCTGGGTCATGATTCCTTGTCCACTAAATAACAATCACCCCAAACCTTTCAGAACAGGTTCGATGAGCTGGAACGGGAAATCAAAGCCGAGTTTCAGAACATCCATCGCTTCCTGTATGAGGAGGAGTTGAAAGACCTGGAGAGGCTGAGCAGGGAGAGAAAAAAGCAACTGAAGCTCCTGAAGGAGAGGGAGAAGAAGATAGCAGCTCAAGCAAGAGATCTGGAGGGTGCAATCACAATTCTGAACAGCAAACTGGCTGAGGAGGACAGTCCAAAGCTGCTCAAAGTGAGGAAGACACAACCTTGCAGATGTTGCATCCAATTGTCTCTGAAATGTGGCTTTTCCTGGTTTAAGATTACTGTAGCCACACAAAGCTGTTATCAAAATCTGAGGAGAATTTGATCTTAAAACGGCTTAAGGTCTGAGAAAGGAGCTGTCACTCTCCTTCCTGTTTTAATTCACGACATAAAGTTTGGAGCTTGTGAAGTAGAATATGAAGAAAACTAACTCGTTCAGTTAGAGAACAGTTGCCTTGTTTTGCAAGTCAAAATCAATTATTCATTCAGAAATAAGTATAAAATTGGTCTGCATACTAACAACCTTTACTGTTTTTCGTATTGCAGGAAATTCAAGATCTCATAAAAAGGCAGGTTTTTCTGTGTGTGGTTTGATCAAACTAACATTTCTCTGTATTTTGACTTTCTTTCTTTACATTTCAATAACATTGAGGTGTGTCTGTCTCTTTGGTCTTCTATTATAATTTCAGTCCGTCTTTTTTCTCACTGTGATTGATCAGGTCACAGGTCAGCTTTGTTCTTCCAGCGGAGGTGGACACAGAAGTTCGTTCTGGCCAGTTCGTGGGTCCCATCCAATACAGGATATGGAAGCACATGAAAAGCTGCCTCTATCCAAGTATGTATGTGTCTGTCATTTCAGAACAACATGTGTCAATCAGCAGCATAACTCATTGTCCTCCATGTGTTTCTTCTTAAAGACATTACATCAGTCACCTTTGACCCAGAGACAGCCCATCCTAATCTGTGCTTGTCCAAGTCCTGCACGGCGGTTTGGTATGATGAGGATAAAGACACTTCGGGCATCCAGGCCAACCCACGCCGGTTTCACTATTATTACTGCGTACTGGGTCACCAAGGCTTCACCACCGGCCGTCACTACTGGGAGGTGGAGGTGGGCAACAAGACAGCCTGGAGACTGGGTGTAGCTCAAGAAGATATTCAAAGAGGTGAGATGGCTGCGACGGGCACCTCCAGTGGTCTGTGGACGCTGTCCCTGAAGGGGGGATCCATCCAGGCGTGCACTGACCCAAAGCCCACCAAAGTCAATGTGTCCTTACGCCTTGTCCGCATCGGTGTATTATTGGACTGTGAGAAGGAGGAGGTGACTTTCTATAATGCTGTAACCATGGCACCAATTTATACCTTCTCCATGGGAACCGTCATGGTTCCCCTGTTCCCCTTCTTTAACCCATGTGACACAGATGAAGGAATGAACCTCGCACCACTGAAGGCCTTTAATCCTTCACTATAAGATGCAGTGCAAAGAATAAAAGTGAATTATGTTTAAGAGGAATTATCAGCTAATTGTTTTTGACTTGTGCCAAATGTTTCAGCCTCTCCATCTGGATCACTCACTATTTAATTCTCTCTCGTTTGAAATTAAACTTCAAATCTTCTGGGTTCGGACTGCTGGTCCAAACCCAAGACACCACATAAAGACGTCATGGGTTTTATTAATTCTCTTTGGCAGGCTCAGGGACAAAACAATGAATCACAGAAGTAAATAAGTGTAAAATAAATATGTATTAGTCATATGTGCTTTCAACCTGCTGAAAGAGTGTTGGAAATAGAAACAATTCAGCATTGAAATTTTCTAATGGCTAAACTGGTGTGGTAATCTCAAAATATTTCTGTTGTAATCGCACTTCTGATGTCATGTCATTAAAATGCTTTTGAAAATGTGCTTTCATGAGTGTTGACTGGTTCGATTAGAAAACGGGCTCTTAAAAGTGGAAGCAGAGGGGAGGTTGACCACAGCAGGTGGAAACAGCTTTATGATGTTACCTTTGGCCTGTATATAAATATCTGTGTTGTATGCGCTCAGCTATGACGAGTCCTGGCAAACGGGGCAGTGGGTTTGCCCGGGGTTGGAAAATGTTCTGTGATAGCCAGAACAAAATTATGTTTGACATTGAGTGAGATATTGGACTGAGATGGAAAGGACATCTCTGAGGCTGAGCTGTCCCTCCGCATGTTATCTGCTGAGAAGGAAGGAAAACTAAGACAAAACGGCAGCAAATGTCAGAATCTTTTGTTTATTCTTAGTATGCCATCAGACATGAAATAAAGAAGAAAAAAACAACTGTTACAAAACATCTGTGAGAAGTGTTGTGCAAAAAGGGAGTACAGAGAGACCACGTGGAACTTCACAGCACAACCAGGCTGAAACAGCAACAGTAATCAGAGAGGGAATAAGATAACTCACGTGACGTGAGGAGTTTCAGTGGTGTTAACAGTGCTAGTTTCTATTAGTGGGTTACCAGCACCAGGTTCATGACCAGAATCCCTCCTGTAACAGTTATGTGTGATCCTGCATCGCTGAGCCTTCTTTGAGATGCTGGTAAAGCGTAAAAGCAAGGTTTGTCAAGTCCACCACTCCCTCTGTCTCCCTCAGCTATAAACGCACTCTGGACGGTTCAAAATGACAGTCACTAAAAGATTGGTGGCACATAGAGATCCAATTTTAGCCACCTCTCTTCCTTTGCTTACAACAACATAACCCTGAGGGGTTGAGCACACAAATCATCAAATTTGCCATATCATTCACATTTTCCAGAATGTGCCACAGACTCGCTGACAAACAAAGCCCATTCAGCCATCTACATGCTATTTATAATTAGGTCAAGTCACATTTTAACCATCAGCTCTACACGTTTCTTTCACATGAACACATTTCATTACACTGTGTTTGTTCAGTTGTGCTAACTGCATATAGCCGGTGAAAATCCTACCTAAGAAGAAGAAATAAGCCATTAGGAGGTGACTAATGACAGCATACAAAGCGACTATCCAATATACATTTTAGGCACCAAACAAAGACAGCACTCACTCAGACATCAATGTTCAGCATTGTTTTGCGGTTTCAAACACATTTACGCTCACACATGACTGAAACTCTGCACACGGCAGGATGGTTTAAGCAGGCACATGGACACCGTACTCACGGACACACTCATGGACACAAAAGGGACACGCTTCGATCTGTGCAACTGCCCGTGCTCAGATTCAGCATATTCTCAGTCATACGTCACTCACACTCCGGGATACGTGCATCACACTGTCGTCACGCAGACCTGACAGGCGAATCCATGACACACAGTGTTGAAAACATTCAAGCACCCCTTTTCCGGTCACACAAAATGGACACGACTTTTTGACAACAAAAGCCTGTTGCTCAGGCCATGTCTCGGGCATGCTGCAAATTGATGCGCTAAGTGAACTGGTTAAATATTGCGATACGATGTGTACATATTGCACGACATATGCTACGCTTTGAGCATCAACAGGTTGGAATAACAGCAGCTAGTTGATCTAAAGTTAGTTAATATAGTGTGGATGGATTTTTACAATATTTGGTTGCAAAATTAGTTCAAGACATTAGTGAATATTAGCACGTAAGATATAATATTTATTATTTCATTTATATATTAGGTTTAAGGTCTGTGAGAAATTTGAATTAGTTTTCTTTCCCATTTACTCTGTATGATACAAGAATTGTTCTATACACTAAAAAACATTCTGCCATTAAGGGGTTAAACGGGCATACACATGCAGTATTTACAATTCTGTGGTGCTTATTTGTGGTTTTCATGTGTGTATGTGTATATTAAGAGCATTGTCAGTCCTGTCAAGTGTGTTTTTTGGCTCCCTCACAGATCCGGGCTGGAAATGAGGCATGTAGAGTGTTTTACAAAGTTTACATCAGAATGTTGCTGTCTGATTAACTGGTGCTGTTACCCAATCTGACACCGAGAAACCTTCATGATTCATTGATTTTAAATCCTAGTTGTTACATTGTAAAGGTATCAAATCAGATTTCTTCATCTTGCTTAACTTTTCTTGTGGCTTTTTAGGATTTTGACAGGACCCATTGGTCAGGAAAGCTACAAAGAAAGGCAAGTCAAGTGCAAATGCATCTATTTAGAATTGTTCAACACTATTCTGATGACTGGATTGAATTTTCATGGCTGTCTTTTTGTGCTTCTTTCAAAAATCCTATGTGTTTTTGCTGATTGTGGAGCATTAAACTTGGACCAGTTAAAATATGAGGTAGAGACATGCATTATTTTAAACATACATCTGTATCTGCACACCTCATCTGTGTCATGCAAGAGTTAAAATGTCATTATTCTGACTGCACATTTAAAACGCCGCCAACTCACTCAAATTCGCTTTGGTGAAAAAGTGTGATGGCGTGGACAAAGGCCTCATTCAGATGTGGTATTACAGAGCCATTGAAGATGGTAATTATCACCATTAATGCATTTGCTAAATATTATATAGGGGGGAACGATCATTAATAAAAAAAAAACAATATTTCAGATAAATGGATACAGAGAAAAACTGTTGCAAAACGGAAGGGGATTGATAAAGGAATGGCAAAAAAAGACAAGGAATTTAAAGCAATAGAGCCTTCCAACTGTTTGAAGCTACAATACACTTTGATTTATTGAAAAAGCCCAGCATACATCATAACAGGGAGGGCCTATTTCATGTCTGAAGTCTCTTTAGGCATGGTCTTCCAATTAAACTGTAAGAGATCTGGCATTTTTATGAAGCCACCAGAAAATCTAAATCAAAGGCTGTGCATTTGTTGATCTTAAATCATCATAAAAGATATCCACTGTAAGTCTGAAACCATATCCCTCTATAAATATATTCTATGAGCACAGGGGTTAGTACTATTAGTAGTTACTTTTTAAATGGTTAAAGTTACGCAAACCTCTTTATCATCTAAAGTTTATTTCAGATGTGTACATCTGAAGCAGTGCTCACATTATAGCAAATCTAGGGTTATACTGACCGAAAGAATCTAACTCCCTCCCTTCATCCAATTGCGGATAGATAAACAAACATCTCAATGAGGAACACTAGTTGATTAAAGTCTAATTGTGATTTCTATCATGCTACTTTGATGAAATGTCGTAAACTTTTGTAGATATTTTATAAAACATATTTTCATGGAGGTTTTTGTCGTAAACTCTGCAAAAGATTTCGTTTGCAGTTTGGCAGTTTTACTGTAAGATTAGCAAAAAAAAAACAAATAAAAACAAGGCTGCTATCTGCATACAAATATGATGTTCAACAATCAAAAGCCATGTTTTTTTTAAATGATGTGTCTGAATCAGAAAGTCTCGAAGGTTTCAGTGTTAGTAATAGACAAGTGAGATGACATCATCGTCACGGTGGGTTCAGGCCTTAGTAAAATCAGCGTCCTCTCCCCAGCTGCTGTGGTTTCCTCATCATTTAGTGGGGGGTGATCGATTGTCTGCAGTGGTGGTCGAAGATCTGTGGGGCCTCCCTCATGCTTTTTCAGGGCCGTTTCTCAAGTTGTAGTTGAATCTTCTGCCGCAGTGCCATCTTTGCTGGCCTCCGGCGCAACACCACCAGATTTCAGCTCCACTTCAGGGGTTTTAGGGGCAACGGCTTTTGGAGCAGAGCCTCCGATGATACCTCCATGATCTGGGCTTAGCTTCGAATCTGGCCCCGGCTCGGGGGTACCGTTGGTAATAGGTTCCGGTGTGGCTGGTTTTGGGGGCTCAGGTGTGGGAGTAAGGGCACTTTTATTCTCGGGTGTTGAAGTTGGGGCTGTTGGCTTCGGCTCCGGGCTTGGGCTGGGTGCGCGTTTTGGATCAGCAGGGCTCAGGCTGGCCTTGGGTTCTGGGCTTGGGCTAGGTGCAGGTTTAGGATCAGCTGGACTCAGGCTGGCCTTGGGTTCTGGGCTTGGGCTAGGTGCAGGTTTGGGATCAGCAGGGCTCAGGCTGGCCTTGGGTTCTGGGCTTGGGCTGGGTGCAGGTTTCGGAACAGCTGGACTCAGGCTGGCCTTGGGCTCAGGAGTACGAGCCGGGCTAAGTTTGCTATCCGCTGGTTTAGGCAAATCCAACTTCGGTTCTTCTGGCTTGTCAGGGGTTTTCTTGATCTCAGGGACAGGGCTGACTTTAGGTTGAAATACTGGACTGGCCTTAATTTCCAAAGCTGGTGGAGCAGTCGGCTTGGGCTCAGCAGCAGCTGGAGGACTTGGTTTGATTTCATGTTCAACAGAGATGCTCACAGCCTCAGACTCAGGGATTTGATCAGCGGCATCAGTGTCAGTGTCCAGAGGGAGAGCAGTGTTAAAACCCACACCTGAGTCACTGGTCTCTAGGTTACCAACCCCAACCTCTTTAGAGGAAACCTCCAGACCCTGAGTTCAGAGAGACAAGAAAGTATGGCAAGTTTATTTGCTGCACAACTTTGCTTTCAACATCCGGGCGGTTCAAGGTGGGATTAGGTAAAAATGTGACAGACACACAGGGGAATAAGGAAGAAAGATGTAGCTATTCAAAATAGTAACATAAATCAGAAGATAATAATAAGCTAAAACCGCATAAAACAGGAGACTGTAGGTCACAGTGCAGCTACAGTGCAGTGCAAGGTAGAAACACGTTTAACTCAATAAGGCAGTGGCAAGCAGAAATGTTTTCAGCCCTGATTGAAAAGAACAGAGAGTAGGGGTGGACCTCAGGTTTTCTGGGACTGTGTGATGGAGCATAAAAATCCAAAATCTGCTTCTGATCGTTTTGGGACAGTAAGCAGACCCGTCCCAGAAGACCCGAGAGGTCCGAACGGTTCATAAAACAGCAGCAAGTAAGAACGTATTTTGGTCCCGAACACGTTCGAGGCTTTACAAAACGATATTAGAAAATCCATTCTAGGTCACAAATGAAGCCACTGCAAAGTTCTGAGACCTGGACTGATGTGATCCACTTTCTTGATCTTAGTCAGGACCCTAGCAGCTGCGTTCTGAATAAGCAGCCACTGTCTGAACGCAGAAAACAGCATAAAAACTGAGTCATTACAAAAAACACTCAACGAGACAGTTTTAATAGGAAATGTTAGATGTCCTTACTTTGATATCAACTTCAGTGCTCTGAGATTTTTCTGTGTTGTCAGCTTGGGAGTGCTTGGATTCCTCGTTGAGCTTAGTGATGTTCTTGACCACCTTTGAAGGTGCACAAAAAGCAAAAAAAAGTGACTTGCTATACCAGAATACCCATTTTTATGGCATATTTGTCTCTCTTACCTGTCTAAAGGCTTCTCCCTCATCCTCTTTTCCAGCATTTTCAGCCAACTTCTCCAGGGCTGCAGCCCTCTTGGCCCTTTTCTTTACTTTGATCAAGCAGGACAACAGGCAGACCAGCAGAAGGAAAGCGAGCAGGCCCAGCAGAGCGATGATAGCCACATAGAGTGTTTCCAGCCTGTAGGCTGCAAAGACACATACAAACGGGGGGTATTTATTAAAGGAACTTTTTACTTAAAGTCATTTATACGAATTAGAGCAGAACAAGAACATCTACAGTATATTTTGATTTATTTGTTTTTTGCTCACGTTGAACTGTCACATGGTAGGTAGACACAGTAAATCCGTTAGGGTCTGTTATTTTGAACAGGCCTGCATCTGACCCAGAGACCTGATCAAGATACACCATGGAACCCTCCAAAGAAAGACGATCGTCAAAACGCAGCTCCATTTTGGCCTGAAATGAAAACAGACATTTTTAACCTTACCCTGAAAAAACGGTCACAGTATCAAACATGAATTAAAAATCCTAGTGACAGATAAAACTGATAACTATATGTTACGTCTTAATAACAACTCGTGAGCATAAACACTTATGACAGAGGCCTGTAACCATCAAGAATTATTTCCAGTCTTATCTATGACCTTTACTCTGACATGGTTTGCTCTTGGGCTTATTCAGATTTTTCATCAAAAAAATCTAAACAAGGTAGCCTACCAATTTCTGACTGTCATGAAACTCAAAGATTGTCATTTTTATCCAGTTTCTTTCATTGTGTTCTCATAATCAACTCTTTAGAAAATGATAAGACAATCTGATAATTTATCTAGAAACAATTTAAACCTCAGTGTAGAGAACAAATTTTTCTGAACCAGCAACAGAAATGTCAGGGAAGCACGAAAAGACTTCGAGAAAGAACATTACCCATTTACAGCAATCTGTCAAGTCAAAATGTGTGATTTATAAAGAAACGGGAGGTTTCACTTACATTGGTGAATGCTCCCTTATCCAGCAGCAGATGCTGGGGGGAGTTGGAGTCAGTGCTGTAATAGAGCTGCACCACAGAGCTGTTGAGCAACAGATTGATCTTCAGCTGTTTACCGTAAGGCACGGTCAGGAAGTTCTTGTGCTCTACGACGGACAAGAAAGAAAAGTGGCCATTCAATGAGTTAATCACAGGTCTGTTTACGGGCTGAAAATGCATTAGCTTGCCATTAACATTTCAGTCTTTCAAATCCATTATGACAGACGTAGAGGAGCATAAAAATCTCAACCAGTGGAGTGGATAATTTAAACTGTCTTCATTTGCACTCTCACCTTTGACATTTAGACACTGTTTCCTTTGGATTGCACCTCTGTTATCCAACACAGTGAAGCTCCCCTCATCTGCACCTGTGACACCACTGAGGGTGACTGAATGCTCACTGACGCTGATACGGCCCTGATAGGGCTCCGAGGAAATCCCTGTAGCTGTCAGAACCACCAAAGCTGGTCTACGGGGAGGAAAGTCAGAGGGTGAACTTTTGCTAACCTTCCCTGATAACCCTCTGACATGTCTCAGCACATGCACATCAAGGTTTGAAACACATCAGTACTGATTGTGGAGTTCAGAAATGTCAATGGGACTTTGCTGACTGTACCTCGATGTCTGGTTGGCCTCCACAATACTGGGCTTGTACTCGAGGGTGATGGGCTGATTCACCCCTTGCAGTGGAATCTGGAAGTTGCCTCCATATTTGATGATTTGCTCAAGGGTACAATCTAGAAGGTTTCAAATCAGGGATGTTAACACATTGTCTTTGAGCGAAAACCAAGCAAAAGGTTAACAAAAGTGGACAAAAAGGGCTTCAACAATCAAGAGAATCAAGAGAAAGAGAATGAAAGCAGATTATTTTCTTGATATAAAAGAAGAGGTGACAGAAACAGAGGATGGAAAGGCAATTTGTTGGGAGGGATTTGAGGAAAAGGGGACAGATGCAGAGAAACTAAGGAGCAATGATCCAAAAATATCAGGGGAATGGGAATGAGAGGGTAGACATAAAACGGAAAGAGAAGGAAAGACAGTGGAGACAAGATAAAGACCCGAAAACAGCAGGGGAAGGAAGGATAGAGTGGGCTAGTGGTTAAAGAGCTGCATAATTACTGCCTGGCACTCCAGTATGCACTCTCACACAAAAACCTCTTCATTACCAAAACATATTACTCCCTCCATATGGCACGTCTTCCACATACTGCTACACTACAGTTGCCTTTATCCCGCTGAGTTTGAGCCCACTTTAGTTTGAATCGTTCCAACCGCAATCATGTCAGTGTTTGTGTATAGAATTATCTAAATTACCACTCGATACTGCTCCAACTTGTGACACATACAATGTGCACACTGAGGCTTGATCCGTGTGTGAGAGATTTACGAGAAATGCACGAGTGTAGAAAAGATTTTAGAGATCAGTGACATGGAACCCACACAAACATATTTGTCATGTTGTAGAGGCAGACTGGTGTTTTCAACACGAGCCCACAACTCTGCCTTCCTGCCTTTTTTCACTGCAATGAGATGCTGACTTAAATACTGGTTTGATTCTGTTAACCCACCACTTAGTCAAAATGATGCATCCTTCTGGTTTCGATCTATCCTACGAGTTCCATGATCTCATCAGCACGTGAAGGTTTCTTTTCTTCTACATTAACATTTTATAGATCACATTCAGCAGCAGTAAGAAACAAAACACCACATCTATCATGGCTGAATTTAGCAAAACTCTTGGAGGAAGATTTTAATCTTGATCCAAAAAGGCTGATAATCTTGTTTTACGTTTTACAGTCCAATCTATAAGATTTTAACATTTAGAACCAAAACTGTAAAAGGAAAAAATGAATTTGATAAGAAATCAAATGCACAACTTAATTTAATCCATAACAAAAGGTGTCTTGATCCATAAGAAAATAAACTTGCACAATTTATGACTTACAAATAATATATGTTGTCATTTTCCACCAAATTTTTTTGAATGATTGAAGTGGAGTTTTGGCCTAACAATGGGGAAAAACAATGTCAGAAACTTTAAAATGGAAAATATTCCTAATATGGAAACTAAACAGTAAAATTCATCTGTACATAAAAGAAGTATTTGTAGCGCGCTTGTTTTAAAATGTTTGAAAAAGTCTTGATTCAGTCAAACTGCTTCTTTTTGAAGTTGCAAAGTTTAACTGAAAGATATCAACCTTCTTAATTCAATCAACTGTGAAGCAAAATGGTTGAAAAATTATAATTTTTTCTAAGTGATCGTTTTGGACTGATATCCTCCTTTGTGTCTGTATGTTAAGTGAATTAAAAACATGTCACGTCATCCAGTACCTCTGACTATCAGCTTAATGCGCTTGATGTCTTCTGGATTCTGTGGATTCTTCACGGTGTACTCGCCCTCATCCCCCTCACCAACACCCTCTATAATGAGGTGGTTGAGGTTCAGGTTGGGTTTGGCCCGGCTGCTGATCACTTTGCCATCCCTCATCAGGACCACGGGCTTTCGAGGGTCGGACACGTGCTTAAATGTGACCTCCAGATCACGTGAGGGCAGCAGGATGTGGAAATCCTCCCCATGAAACAGTGTCTTGGATTCATCTTCAGCTGGATGCAATCAAAGTTCGAGGGAAAAAGCATTAAAGAGGAGAAAGAGAGCTCATAACTCATTCATCACATGATGGATCAGAATTGGATGTACAGTGCACAACAGGTTTTACCTTTTAATGGGGCAGCAAGAGCTGAAAGGAAAATGAGAATGGTGGTTAAGCCTCTCTCTGGATCTGACAGAGTCTTACACGGATTCAGATTTTATTCTTTGTGACGTCAACACAGTGTCTGCAAAACGTGCTAAGCTTTGTAATGACATGAGCTGGACTTATAGATGGACATACCTGTAGTGATGAGACAGCAGAGAGCAATCGCTCTTACTGCCATCGTCATGGCTGATTCTTTTGTGTCTGGAAAGACAAAAGGAGTGAACATAAAGTGATATGTTAATACTGTACCTACTTCCATTTGTTTGTTTTTAGGAGGAAAAAAATTGGAATGCTGATAAAAACACAAGATGTAGAACAGAGAGACTACTGAGATTATTACTGTGAAAAAGGGTTTAGGTTTAAATAATTAATGTAGATCACTACAAAATTTGTGTTGTTAAGTCTACCAAATCCATCTAGCATTATGTAGAACCTATTGTTAGAATTTTAAACAGTGTTGAAGATTATTTTACAATTGCATCACTCGATGCGGAATCTAACTGGTGACATCTTTTAAGAAAACATCATAACTACCGATAATGGATCCTCTCGGCAGGAAAACACGCTGCTATGTCAGTAAACAGTATTTTAATGTGTGTTTAAGTGAGCTCCAAAAAGGACCCACACAGGGTTTCGGAAAAGAAGATGGCAGACGTGATTTCCTCACGACTGTTTGAAAGTGTCTGGGAAGAATCCCAATTAATTACAGCATGTGGACGGGACTGAGACGATTTGTACGGCTCTCAAGAACATCAGAGGCAGCGCATCAAGAGGCCGGCGCAAAAGAAGCTGCTGTGTGGGTTTCATTTTAAAAGATCAGGAGGGGAGTGGGAGAAAACACCTGCAGGGAGCCCAGTCAGAGAGGCCAGCATCCTAGCAGGAAACATTAAGGTTTATCTGTGGAAGTAAAGGCCCGGGCATCAGACTCATCATTATTGTATGAAAATATTTCATTATTCATACCGAACAGCATCTTTTGAACTTGCACACCCCTGAAGAAGGGATCTCTCTCTTTCTTACTTTCCTCAAATGGGTCTGTGAGATTATTATAATAAGGACATCCAATTTGCCAGTGATTGTGTATATTCATAAGAATCTGTTTGTACTTCACAGTTTTACGTAAGTGTATTTAGAGATCTGGATCTTGAGGAGGATTATTCTTCTGCAAAGACAGTCTTGTCTCAAGGTCACACTAGCAGGCATGTAGGTCCTCTATTTCAGGGGTGTCTGATTGTTTTTAAAGGCTAATGAGGATGAGGATAACTAGGATATGTGTAGACAAAAGCCAAAGACAAAAGCTTGATGAATGTGAAAATAGTTCAAACTCCAGGATCAGTGTGACGGTTTCCCGGCAGAAAATGTCTGGAACAGTAAGAGCTACTGGTAGTTTCTTTGTCTCGGAGCAGTGAGATGATGCAGCAAAGTCATCTGAGGCAAAACATTAAGAGAGGTTGTACAAAATAGATTTTGCTGCAGCTTTCATTTACAAAGCCCAGGAGGGGACTGAAAAGGAACACCTGCAGTGCTTGCAGTCACACTTTGCAGCAGCTAATAAACACTGGCTAAAGATTAAAGTGTCTCTTTACAACAAAACAGCATCCTGAGAGGTTCCATTCCTGCTGAATCAGTTTACCGCCTTCTTCCCGCTGTGAATAATCTGCATTTTTTTTACTGTCTGCCATCTGTCCTTCAACGCATGTGGCATGGACATATTGCCAAACAACAAATAAATAGGCCCTGTGCTTCTTTGTTGTTTAATGAGAAAAATCTGCGTTTTACTATGTCATAATCTGACATGCAGAAATACTGGCTCACATAAGGCCTCGCACAAGCCTCTGCACTGTTTTCCCATCTGGGCAGAGAGCCTAACAGCCCACTGATTACATTGTATTAGAAACAGAATATGGAGCAAAGCTTTGTCCTGCGGAACTGTTGGCAAACAGTGCACACGTGTGCTTTACATTTAATTAGAGACGTCCATATTTGACCTTTTTCTGGGAGGTCTGAATCCTCCCTTGAGGCTGATATATCATGTACCAATTGTAAAAAAAAAAAGAAAAAAAATTGTTAACCGCAACAGAAGCTAATGGTTCATTGAATAAGCTACAATTAGATTGACTTGCTTGGAAAAGAAAGAACCATTCCAATCTGTTTGTCACAGTGGGGTGACACAGAGAAAGACGGGCCGTTACAAATTTGTACAATACAAGTTATAGACAACAATGAAGGATGTTGCTGGTTTCTGCAGTTTGCATCTACTATGTCGACAATAACAGAGATAATTGCACATTTGCTGTTGCAACGTTTATCAAAAAGGCGGGGTTCCAGTCATGTGACTTCCTGGCCAATCAGTAGCCTGCAGTCTGCCATAAACCCCACCCAGCCTAATTAGAATCCCTGTAAGGTTAGGAGGGATCCAGCCCCTAATCATTTAAGTTGAGCTGAGTAGAAACTAGTGGAAAAGCCCCACATGCTTCAGTCCCTCCTTATTCTGCCTCACTGGGCTTTCACTTGGTCTCCATCTTGTGTTTTTCCCCTATTTCTCATCTGCCACTATCTTCCAACCTAGAAATGTTACCACCTACTGCTCTAAATCTTCTTGAATCTGTTTGTCTTAGGTGTCTACTAGACCGATTTCTGCCTTAGTTTTCACCCCTCCTTTTCATTGGTTATTTTCTCTTTTTTGGCTGGCTCCACTCAGCTCAGTCACCATGCTCCCTGTCTCAAGGTATCTGCATCATTTCCCACTTTCTCTGCATTTCTCTGTGCATCTCTTTTTATCTTCTTATCATCTGAAATCAAAGCCCAGGCCTGTACTCCCACAAACTCCAAACTTCTTGCTCGCTGGAGGGACAGACATGTCTTTGTCCTCTGGCCTTTAAAGAGGCGGAAATGCCTTCAAATGACTGCAGATGTGGGAAAGCCACAAAGCAAGCTCTGTCCCTTCATCGTTTCTCTTTCATTTTCACTCTACCCGTTTTCTTTGCTCAAGTAATTTGAGGGGACACGGGGTCAAGTCCTACTCATCATGACAAAAATAATAAAAATAATAAAAAAGTGAGCTCAGACATACTTAGACACCGTAGCACATACTGTTCTCATTTTTAAATCATGAGGCTCTAAAAAAAAACATCCCAAAAAAGTTTTTGCACTAAGAAGACACAAAAGGGATGACATGGATGAATGTTAGCTTTATGTGACACATCTCCCGCAAATATGAGAGTTGAAAAAATCTGAAACGTCGCTTTTGTGATATCTCGGGTCAGCACTGCAGAAAGACTTGAACTAACCAGACAACTGAATCTGAATTTATCTTTCCAGGGAAGCCTGTGGTTGACAACCCATTTTCCTACAGAGCTGGCTGCAGTGAACTAAAGGAGAAGACATGTCCCCACCATATTGCTGCACCTGTCAGATCAATTCATATCAATGGGGGTGAGGGGAGGAGTGGGGAGAGGCTGGAGGGGCTGTGTGCAGCGTTAACAAACACATAGCGGGACTGATTAAAAATAGAAACTAGTGTATGAAAAGCGGAATTAATGAGCGTATGGGAGGTTTGTAGCAGCTGAAAATGTAAAGCCTCCCTCGTTGCATGCAGCTGTGCCCACACAGCAGGGCACTGCAGACACGGAAAAAAGCCTCCAGGCAGAGCATCCTCTCTAATAATGCATCACATTTACATTACACCCGACTCATTTACCGACTGAGAATGTCACCTCATTAGAGCACAAAATACGGCGTTCTTAATCTTTTGATAACGGATAAACGTTTTGTGTTCCATTGGCTGCATTAATTGCCACTTTAGATTAGTATTCCTGATGTAACACCTTGCATCCAGAACACAGACATTTTTTATGATGTGGGTTGAAATCCCATCAAAGAGGCACGAAAGCCTCCCCCTAATGAAGCCGGCTCCGTTTAAAATGGGGGCGATTATCCTTTTCTTTTCTTTTTTTTTTTTTTTGCACCTTTTCCCAGTTAGTGATCAGCCTCGCACCTTAAAGTGTGGATCATCTGAGTCTCATCCGAGCCGGGGCAGCCACCAAAAAACTGCAGAATTTAACCCGTCACGCTCCAGATCCAGCTAAGACGCGCATTCCCGCACACGTATGTCGAGCATCTGAAAAAATCCCTCACCTGCAACGGGCCGGCCGCCGGTGCGCGTCGGTGGGAAGATGCCGGGATGCTGTTCAGAAGTGGAAAGCAGCGGGGAATGTTGCCTTGCTTCCTCCCTCGTCGTCTCCCTCCCTTACAACCTCGCCCCCCTCAAGAGCAGCACTTCACGACTCGGGCTCAACATTTGGAAGATGATCTGAACATGTCGGGCTCTGCTCTGCTCTCGGATCCACTCGACTCGTGTCGGGAAACACCGGCCACCCTTCGCCCCCAGAACACACTGCTGGGCATCACACGGCACCCACGAGCAAACCGGAACAAACCGCCTCTCCTCAAACTTATTTTCTCATGATTATCGAACCCCTGTTGTTATCAATATGATTTTCTTTACATAGATTTGTTTTAACTACATGTTAAAACAACATTCTCATTCTCAAAGATTGCAGGCAGTTGTGGTTTGACTCATGTTATCCTTTAACATTTGAAGCAACCACAGGACTGATTAGGGATAATTATCTTTCAATTTGTCAGACAAATTTTTTTTTCTTTTCTCAAAAATGAAAGCAGTAAAGACACCAGGTTTACTCCCTATTTTCACTTGTGCCAGGGGCCTGTAAAGAATGGCTGTGATTGGGATGTTTAGAGCCATTCACGCTGAGCCAAGATAACAAAACAGCTGTTTGACATCCAGATGTTAGTCACTTGTCTTACCTGACTTGTGTCACACTTTTGACAAACCCCTGTTCTGAGTAATATTCATCAATTGGAAACATGACAATGACGGGCTGAAAATGCTGATAGAAAGTATTTAATGTTTTCATGATTTCACACAACCTTGGCATTGCGTCACTTGCCAGGTGAGATTCCAGCTTTAAATGAACAAACAGCGTAGAAAGTTTATAAAGGACCTGGACTGAAATGGGACACTGCTCAATAACTGGGCTCATAACATGTTTGATCATGGAGATAGCAGGCAGCGTTACAGACAGGTGCTGTGGACAAACAGGATGGGATCTTGATGTAAAAGCAGTAGTCAGACTCCTCCATAGAGCCCAACGCTCCCTTAAGGTAATAAGATGGAATAAAGGCTTAATGGAGTGGTGCTGCTTAATGGAGAGCAGCAACAGACACAGTGCTGATCATATCAGTATAAAAGGCACTATGCACATTTTATCTGGACAGGAAACAAGCTTGTTGCGTTCACTGACATCTGCAGCGGATGGATTTCAAAATTCAACTTACTACTGAAACTGAACCCCCCCCCAACATGATTCGAACAGCCGCAGACTGATGTTTAACCGTTTCCCATCGCTGGTAGAGTTAAAAGACTGAGCAGTATGGGCCCCTTTATGGAAGGTCGAGCAGCTTCGGAATCTTAAACAATAACACGTAAAAGGCAAAATGCCAGTAAGATCTCATCAGTCTATTGCAAAACTATACATGTAGGAATTGTTTTAAAAATGTTCACACAACAGAAACTGCTCGCCTTGGCTTCAGGGTGAAGCGTGTCAGTTTAAAACTTGATCAAAAGGATGAAAAAAAACAGCTTTGCCGCTTATGGCAAATACATTCTTAAGTCTTTTACACAGGCAAACGCGAGTGTTCGGACCAGTCCGGAATGTAAACCTGCAAAAAGATGGACCAGTCTAAGGTTGCAGAGTCCCTCCACTCCCAGTGGTGTGTTATACGGACTAGATCTTCCTCCTGCTTCTTCCTCTGCCCCCTGAAGGCAGCGGGGCAGCTGGGGGGGCGGGGAGCGCATGGGTGTGAAAATCGAGTTTCTGCTGCAGGATCCCTGCGAGAATGAACTCGGCAGTGACCACGGGGAGGGACGCGGACACGGCGGGGCCGCACAGCCGCCAGTCCTCCTCACAGGAAATCACCACCGTCTGGGGCTGAGAACGGGCGGGAGGACAGAGAGGATTTAGACATTAGAGATCCCAATACATAGAAAAAGCTGCTTTTTTTGTGTGTAGGACAATTGAGGAGCTCAGAGCTCAAATGGCACCTTGTGAGAAGAAGGCATCTTTGGTAGGAAGGTCGCTCCACTGGAGGAGATAATGTCTTTCATGTGAACTGGCTCTGGCTTCACAGACTTTGTGACATGGATCTCATAACCCTGAGAGAAAGGCAGATGTAAAGAAATAAACTCCACAACATTGTCAAATATTACATTAGTCCCTATTCTTATTCAGGCCGTGTAAAAGAGAACGCGGAAATCAATAAAGAGCTCCTGAGACTGGGATTTGGTCAGGTGACTACGCTTATTTTAGCTGGGCGTCAGCACGACATGTTAAACAAGGAGATCATATTACGGCTTTGACGAGAAAGCAGAGTCATAGCAGCAGTACACATAAAACATAATGATTACACAAACTGTAAATGTCAAACTACTTCCTACAAGCTAAAGAGTGATTGCTGACCACCAACAGCTCAGCTGAGCTACGGTGTCCTGACAAAGGCTAAAAATAATGGAATCATTCCCGTTGTGACTTTTCCCGCCACCGGTGTGCTGCCGGAGTGGTCAGCCACCAGCAGGCCCACGTCGGGGGGATGAGTACCTGCAGCAGACGCCGGCCGCTGGCTGTCCGCAGAGAGTCCTGCAGGCAGAAACTGAACTTCTTCTCCTGTTCGGGGTCCTTTACAACAAAGGCGCCGGGAGAGAGGAAGCTCCCCGCCTTACCACTCTGAAACAGAGACAGGAGAGCCGTGAGCGAACTACGCCTGTGTCCATTTTGTCATTTATCTATCTGAGAATGAGCGTTTTGGGTTGTGTTTATCCTTTTTTTTCTTTTTTTCAATCTCCAAAGACCTCAATGTTTGATATTTTCTTAAACATGGGGTCTTTTGTCATTCGGAGAGCCTCTTAGGTTTCCTGTCTGTGGATCCAGCTGCCATACACCCTCTCTGCTTTTGAGATGAGGCTTAGAAGTCTCTATGCAATCTGTTGGCTTCCCCAGTCAGACTATTCATTTTTCATTGGCATTATATGAACTGGACAGTATTAATACTGATTGACTTCTGACTACAATTACAGTCAATCGGATATGATTGGATCTTCAAGAGCCTTTAGATGACATCTGTTGCGAGTCGGTGCTTCAAAAAACCAAACTTCATTTGATTAAATTGAACTTTCCCACTCCTGCTACGGCAACTAACCTTTTCCAGCCAGTCGGTGGTGACGACCGGGATACCTCTGGCCACCGCACACAGGAACTTGACCGTCCTTCGCACCTTGTCCGTGACGAGACAGTTCATATCGGCCACGCCTTCGGCCAGGCTGCCCCCTAAACGAGCCAGCACGCGCTCCCCCTCTTCATCCACTACCCCTGTGAACAGCACCTGGGGGGGGGGCAACAACGCAGCTTCTGTCAAACACGTCAGTCAATCTACAAATACAGTCTGCTAAAAGACAGTGTAGGAACTGAGCCTGAAGTCCAGCGCTCGGGAGGCTTCAGACAGGCGGCAACACGGACCTTGTAGGCCTGGTCTCCAGCTCCCAGTCGTCCGGCTGCTGCTGGGGAGGCGGGAGAGGAACGAGGAGTCTTTGCCACCGGAGAGGAGTCTGCAGGTGGGTGGCGCTTGCGGGAAACGGCGCTGCGCCGTGTCTGCTGAGAGGAAAAATATTGTAAAAAAAAAAGTTTTAGGTAAGAATCAGACAACAGATTAGAGCAAACATGGAACACACAGAGAAAAGTTACAATTAGGAAATATTAAAGCGTGGCGTTATGGTAATAAGAGGTCAGAGAGGGAAGCGGCGGGATGACCATTAGGCCACTTAATTCATTAGTGGATTAAGGGTTATGCAGGGCAGGTTAAAGCACTCTTGTTGAGAGAATGGAGGAAAGAGGCATCCATGATGTGGATGATGGTACATTACAGTGATTGGAAAGGCTGACTCAGGGGAAGTAAAGCACTACAGCACGGGGCCACGGTAAAAGGCTTCCCTTAGAAGATCATGGACATATTCTGTTTGACTCATCCGTCAGCCTTTAAGCGTTTTATCTAAATTAATATCAACAACCTTCAAATCTAAAAATCATCCAGTGATTGAGATTTAAGACTGATTTAAGGAATGAAGTACTTATTCACCTCTGACAATGTCGATGCTGTGTTTTCTTCTGGAGCCTCCCGTTTACTTCTCTGGACCAAAGATGTTCGACCACTGGCTTTCTTCTCAACAGCCTCCCCCTCCTCCCCAGGGGGAGAGTCTCCTGGCTTCTTCCTGGAGCTGGTCGCTCGACTCGTCTTCCTTGCTTGGACTGAAGCCTCTGCTCCGTCTGCCTTTTCTTCCTTTGCGTTTGCTTTGGTTCTGTCCACTCTCGTGTTTGCTTCAGACTGACTATTCCTCCCTTTCCTGGTGGTTCTTACCTCGCCCCCCTCGCTGTCTGCCGGAGCTGCTGGCCCCGCAGGTTCAGCCTTAACTGCTTTTTGACCTCTGCCCCTGACCGTCCTTTGGGGCGAAAGCGATTTCTCAGTAGCCAGCTCCTCTTCTGGATTTAGCCGTCCATCATCACTTGGTGCTGCGGGTTCAGATCCGCTGGCTCCCTGCTGCCCCCTGCTGGCGGCGGCCTGCCGACAGTCTGCCCTCTCTTTATCCCCCTCACGGAGAGCTTGACCGGCGGACCCCTTCGTCTTCCTGTCCCTGGCCGTAGAGCTCAGATCCCTCACAGGAGCAGCGGGGTCCAGGAGGGCCTCTGTTCTTCTGACCCTTCCTCGCTGCCTGCCTCCTCTTCCTCTGCTGGGGGTGGATGAATCGGGCCCGGAGGGGGGATCCTGAGGACAGCTGGCGTTGCTGTTTTGCTCTGCGGCCGTGGTGGTCCTCCGGCGGCTGGCCCTGGGCGTGTCGCTGCCCCTCGGGGCCCCTCTCCCCCGGCCCCCTCCGTCGCTCCTCTGGGTGCACACACTCGACGCAGACCTCTCCGAGCCCACGGAGTTGGAGGAGTTGGAGCGAGATCTGGTTCTCCTTGCCGGGAAGTCGTCGTTAGCTGCGACGGAGTCTGGTCCTGGCTCTGTGGTGCTCTGGGTAGCGGTTGCTCTCGCAGCGGTTCTTCGACTTCTTGCGGGAGCTTTGGTCTTCTCTTCTTCCTCCTTGTCTTTCGATTTAACTTGTTTTTTAACTTTCTCTCTTTCCTCCATTTGCAGCTTAGCTTGGAGTTCTTTCTTCTCCTTCTCAAGTCGCTCTTCTTCTTGCCTCTTTGCTCTTTCCAAGCTTTCTATTCGCTCCTGTTCCTTTCTTTCCCTTTCTATTCTCTCCTTCTCCTCTCGTTCTAACTTTTGCTTTTCTTCTCTTTCTTCCTTCTCTTTATTTTCCCTCTCAGCCCTCTCCAGTTGAAGTTTCATTCTCTCGGCATCTTCGGCCTGTTGCCTTTCTTCTTCTTCAGCCTCCCTTCTTTTCTTCTCAGCTTCTTCTCTCTCTTGTTGTCTGCGCTCTGCAGCATCAGTTTCCTTCTGTTTTTCCTCTTTTTTATCCTTCATCTGGGTCTTTTCTGCACTGCTCTTATTTTCATCGCTCTCATCATCTACCTGTTGGTTTGTATTTTTTCTCCCTCTTGTCTTCCTAACTGACTTCATCTGGTCTTCATCATCATCAGACTTGGCTTTTCCTCCTCTTCCTCTTGTACTAGGTAGTGCTTTACTTTCCCTTCTTGACTGTCTCCTCTGAGCTAGGGAACACTCTTCCGCTTCTCTTAATCCTGCCCTTGTTACTCTGCTTCCAGCACTTTTACTTTCCACAGGAGTTTCAGCTGCACAGACTTTAGAATGAACGGGTGGTGGAGTCTCTCCTTCCTCAACGTGAAGCCGCTTTGCTCTTCTCTTTTGTGGAACTGAAACAGAGTCCTCATCTTCACTGTTTGTGTCTCCACCTTTCAGCTCTGAACGCGTTTCAACCCCAGACGTCTCTGAGCTGAGGATTGGTTGGGTCTGCTCCTCCTCAGGCTGCTGTGGCTTTGCTTTTCTTTTTCGAGGATGCGGATTCAAGCGCTCGCCGTCCTCTCGCTCACCTTCGCAGACGCCCAAAGGCTGAGTTTCAACGGCAGAAACTTCAGGCTGTTCAGGCTGCCGTGGCTTTGCCTTTCTTTTGCGCTGGCCTGTCGTCGCCTCCGAGTCCTCGTCGCCGACGGCCTGCGGTGGAGTTCCCGCGGTGGAGAGCTCAGAATTTGTGAGCCGTTGCGTCTCCTCGTCTTCAAGGTGAAGCTGCTTTGCTTTCCTTTTCCGTGGACCCGGAAGTGAGTCCTCATAGTCACCTTTCAGCTGTGAAGGCGTTTGACCACCAGACATCTCAGAGCTGGCGAGCGGCTGGCTCTGCTCCTCTTCAGGCTGCAGAGGTTTCGCCTTTCTTCT